CCCCCCCCCCCCCCAATAGCCTATCAGATAAATTCAATCTATTTTAATGAAAATATTTATAAGATGGCAATTTTCTTACAGCTCAAATGTGAAATTGCATATAGGAATAATGAAAGTGATGTTAAACTATGAGCTAACAATTCCAATGGGGTACTTTGATGATGTCAAATACGTTGAAATTTGCTAAGCAATCATATACCTGAAAATGAAGTAATTTTCTATTCGTTAAACATACAAAACTGGTCACAGTTAAGGGGGAAAAATAAAATAATGGTTTACACAGTTACACTTGACCCTCTAGCACCGCACCATTTCATCGTACTGCTAGAAGCAGATGGGCAATTATACAAAGAATTTGAAATACAAAATACTTGTGGACAGGGAACTTGCTGGTACTCTTCAAGCTTCCTACTCTTGAGAAGCATTTCAGCTTTTTATTCGCTGACTGAAGTTACAACCACTTCTCAAAAGTCAAATGGCAGCAGCACTCAGCAGAGAGCAGCTCCCTGCCTTTACTTTGTTTTTATTCCCTCTGTTATGTTTTAATGATTTATTATTACTCTCCAAATTACAGAATGTGTTTTTTTCTTTTCTATCATCCTCTGAAATGGATTTTAAGCATCAATCCATTAGGAAAAGGCAAATCATAGAGGCTGGAAGAAATGAGGTAGTATTGTGGGCTCAAGTGTAACCCCCATCTCCCCCCCCCCCTTATTAAGTGCATCTCACATTGCAAGTGTAGAAAAGTATGCTTCTGAAAATACACATATTGATTAGCTCAGAAGTGAAACTTTGGGAAGACATTTGTGTAGTCTGAATTTTTCAGCTTCATTTGGTGTCTGTGCTTTAGCACCTGCAATGAAGTGGTTTTCCTGATGTCCATCCCACACCTACAGAGAGGTGCTTCAGACAATCACTGAAGAAGCTGCTCAGGGCTGTGTGGCTGTTGAGCAGAAGTTTCCTTCCATGAGTTGTTCTGAATTCCTTGGGCTGGACTTGTGCATCCATGCTGCCCCATACTTTAACACATCCAACCGTGGGACATCAGAAAATGCATAAAGGACTGGCCAAAAAGCATTTTTTCTCTTTCAGGAAGAAAACACACAGCTAAGGAAAATAAGGGAAAATAGTTTGTTTCTCTCATCAGAAAAGACAGATAAAAACTACTACACAGTACCTACCAAGGGATGTATTAACTGAGAGCCAGCTTAATGGAAATGAATGGCTCAAAGCAGCAAAATTAAAGGAACAAACAACACTGGTAACCAGTGGGAAAAAATGCCAACAGACACAGTGGATTTTCCATTTCTGGTGCTGTTCAGAGCTTTTATAGAAGAAACATCTGTCTGTCTAACAGATGCCATAGACACCAAAAAAACCAAGGAAACTGGGTGACTTAAAACTGCATGCCACCTTTGAACTACACTTTGGGAACGAATTCTGCCCTTCTTTTGACAAAAACTGTTTTCAATGAACCTCTCTGTAACAGCACCCATATAGAGTTTCTAAAACACCATTTCACAGTAATGGCCACACTGGCATCTTCTTGTCAAAGAAATCCATTAAAGCAGACACCAGCATGATAGAACAAGAAGCTGAAAAAGAAACTAAACTTGTTAATGTAAACTACATGTACATTCTCTACAAAAACTGCCATTCTCTTGTATCATAATTATCTTCTTCTTCAAGTCTTAAAACAGTGATTTAGAAACAAAACTCCTCAACTTTCCACACACATCTGTGTCACATTTCAGATGTGTCATTCACTGTTCAAAGCAAAACTGAGTATCTCCTTTTAATTACTGTACCATTTTCCATAAAAAGGCTCTAAACTTTAAAGCTCTGGTTTAGCAGACTCAAGAAGTAAGTACATTTTGCTGCAAAACTTAAGTTAGGTACATGCTTAAGTGCTCAGCTGAATCAGTTTCTCATAATACTTTCCTCCTCCACAGCAGAGTTCATGCAATAACTTTGCTGGTCACTGATAGCACAGCACTCAGACATAAGAGACAATTGTTAAAACAGCTCTTCCTCCTATTAGCATTGAAATTAAGACTTTATTACTTCATACAAGACAGTAAAAATAAAAAAAATAATCAACAACTTTTCATAAAAATTAAAAGGGTTTAAACCCAAATCTTATTAAAAAGCCAAACTTAAAACCAAACTAAAGAAATCATGTATTTGCACACACTTTTAAAGGAAGAGATTACAATTTTCTTTTTGATATCAACAGGCACTCTTCATTCATCATCTGCAAGAAACTAGGTTAGGTCTCCATAGGCCACAGTCAGAGTTATTAAGTAAGTAAATATGCCACTGCTTCTGTGCCCTCCTTTTATTTCCTTGCTTCTTCAGTCTCCTCTGACTCTCTCTCTTGATGCTCTCTTTCCCACCTCAATTCTTTCAACTCTTGTCTGTACTTCCGTTCAATGAACCGTTTCTGATGGGCCATCTGGGGAAAGTTATCTGACACAAGGAGAAATATTTTACATTAATAAACAAACTGGTAACAGAGAAAGCCTCAGCTTGTTTTGTTTTAAACTTTGATGTTATTAGAGATTGGGGGGAACAATGTTGTTCCCATTTTTACTCATTTATTTCTTATAATACATAGTAAACCAGGACTGTGCCTGGAAAAGACTTTCATTTCTTTATGATTTCTTTACATCTGTTTCTCCTGCTACAAAACATTGCCAAATCTAATACACTCACAAAAATAAAATATAAAATCCTGGTATAGCAACATGGCCAGGTATTGTCTGGATTTTACATTCTGTTCCCTTAGCAACAGGTAGTCAATACTGAAAAATGAATGTGAAACAACTGTCAATGCTGTCAGGGTTTTTTGTCTTGTTCTCACTCCAGAAAGTATGAGCCACTGGTTTCAAGCATTGTACAGATGTTTCCATTATTTTTATTATTGTTTTAGACCATGCAGAATCAACTGTATGGCACACACTATGGCAGGGATCCTAATGGGAAAGTAATAGTGTAGCAAGATGGAATGCATTTACATCTGTTCCTGAACAAGTTAATGCTTGGCTATGTACCAGAAGACAGCCTTAGCGTAGTCTAAGAGCATGGATGAGTGAAGACTGCCTAAAACAGACTGGACAAGGCTGAGGTGATGGAGAAATAGCTGGGGAGATGGATGCTTCTGCTTTCAGGCATTTGTCCATTGGCTGATGTGTAGGTACACATTCAAACTGAGACTGTAAAAACAGCTTATGTAGTTGAACAGAATTGCTCTCACTTTAGAGCACTGCTCACAGAATGTGATGTTTTCTGCATGACCAGGGTGCTGACATTCATGTGTGTCTGTGCTGGGGAGACCTGCACCCTCCAGACAGTCAGAAAGCAAAGGGGAGTATGTGACAGGCTGCAGGTGGTGATAAATCCTACTGGCATCACACAGACCTCTGGGATCAGCACTGGCTACCTAACCAGTCTGAGATGAATGCAAAAGGTCACTACACTGACCTTTAAAGCCATGAACAAATTTGGTAGATGTCTCAGCAACAGACTGATCTCTCTCTCTGAGGCTACTGAGAGAGAATTCAGCTGAAGCTTCTCAGGGACAAGTACCTTGGCACCAAGCTTTTTCCTCCTTTTTCTGGGTCCCAGGCAGCACAGATTCTCAGCTAGAGAATATAGTGCAGAAGCCACATAAACTGCAGGAGTTTGTGGTATGAGAGAATAACTTTCTACTGCTTTGTTTTATTGGCCAGTGAAATTTGTGCCCTTTATTATATATACTATAGGAATAAAAGGTTTATTCATCAGTTATTTACAATTTGGGCATAGGAGAGTATATTTATTTAAACCAGAAAGCAATCTAAACAAAATTGGTTTTAAACCACTGTTTTCTTTAAAAACACTAGTGCTTTGTTTAATGGAGTTCTGGGACATTTTGTTGCTCATGTGCCCCATAAAATGAAAATCAGATTTTCAGCGCTGTGCCTGTAACATGATTCTTTAAGAACTCAGCTCGGTAGCAACCTGTTCTAATATGTTTAGGACGGCAAGAAGGAAACTCACGTAATCAATTCATCATGACTATCGTATATACAGGTATATGAAAACTACTTTCACTAGAAGTTAACTACTTATGCATTAAAAAACCCAACAAATAAACCAAACCGAACGACTCCACTGCACAACCATATACAAAATAGAATAGGGGCCCTTAAGGGTTGTGTAACCTCCATCCCGAAAGACAATTACAACTTGACTGGCAAGGCACAGAGAAACTAACTTGAAAGTTGGCTCTGTTTTGAACTGAAGGGCAGCAGGAGCACAGACCTCTAGAGTTCTATGGTATTTAAACAAATATTTATGTCAGAAGAGAGCTGTGAAGTCCTTGGATTGATAGGCCATGAAACTCACAGCTCTCTTGAGTGGTGATACTGTCACAAGAAAATTCACTCAAAGAAAACTTCAGTAACATCTTGCAGACACTCAGCAGAGAAGGGAAGCTACATTCTCCTACTTGTCAAATTTACTGGTGGTGAGAAGTATATGCATAGCAGCTGGATAGAAAAACATATCTGAACTACACATATTCACTGCCTTCTGAAATTTTTAAGCTCTTCAATTTCCAGATGCAAAGGTAACAGAACAAAAACCTTTGGTATCTGAGGAACTGTATGTTTCCTTTGAATGAAATGCCAAAAATGGACTTCCCATGTTCTTCTCTATAGAGAATTTCTGCTGCACAAAATGCTTGTAGTCTATTTGCTTACAGGTCACCCACTGGCACTTTAACCCAACTGACCAAAGTTATTTCATGTATGAAGCTTGCCCACACTCATCCATATCTGAGACTACATTTCAGTGAAGGACTGTTCCCACGCTGGCTATGCAGCATGTAATTCAGAGAGATGTATACACAGATCCTTGGATCTGCAGCTGATATTAGTCCTTCTTGACAAATAAATACTGATTTAAATTGATGGGGATATGCCTCTTAGATTTTAACCTGCTGAGTGATAATCTGAGATCAAACTTTATTTTCTAAGGTCGCTCTTTCCTCCTCCCCTGAATTAAAGGGTGAGACAACCCGAGCATCGGAGACTACACAGTCTTATCCCACTGCATGATAAGCACAGACACCTCAATGAAACTGTACTGCACAGGGTTCCCTTGAAGTGGCATCCTCTGCAGCTGAGCAGCTCCCATTAACAAATACCTGTTGGGATCATATTAACTTCAACTGCTACAAAACTGTCTTGAAAGTACTAAAAGGAAAACCTGCTTCTTAGAAGATGACAGCACTTAGCATATGTGTTCTGTTCAAAACTTATCCCTCACAAAATCCACACATTGCCTCACTAAAGAAGAAGGAAATAAACTATGAATTCTCTGTTGCCCAAATATCTTACATTTTTCAAGTGCGTCCATTGCAGCTCCCATTTCTGCTTGCTGAATACTGTGAAAGCCAAACAAAAACATGTTACGTGAGATCTAAGCTGTACAGAATAAACTAAAGTTCCTGAAAAAGTGAAGCACTAGTTACTCTTTTGTAATGAAACTTTTTGGATAACTAGCAGCTAGTAATTAGCTAGAGTGTAATATATATCCCACCTTCTCATAAACATGTGAGATTAGTATTACAGATCTAGTAGAATACTTCTTAACTTAGATCAATAATAACAAAATACTCCAGTCCATTCTTCACTAAAGCATTTGCTTTCACTTTCCAAAATGCCTAGAAGTAGTAACCCCAGAAAAAAAAAAAAAGTGTAATAGTGTAGCACTCTTAACTTGCCAGTGTAAGATGCACAGAAATCCACTAGCAAATACCAAAGTAGAGACACTTTTCAGACTAGAAGCTGTTCTGCAGTTTCTAGTCTGAGAGTTACAAATATAGTTGGCATTATAGATAGCCACCCTGAAGGCAAGTTCACCAGAAAAAGCTTAAGATCCAAAATTATACCGGCGTAGAACCCTTCCGGAATTCCTGAAGCAGAGCAGTTAGAAGACAGCTCGACATCTTTCTTTTCCAAGGCAGACCAGACAACAGTTGTCTCCATGACTTGTCATTTTGGCCACTCTAACACCATGTGATTAATTTTTTACTGTACCTTGGACCTTTACCACATCCTATTCTTTCCCCTTTGAAGTAAACAGCTACTGTGTACGTCCTGGCATGAGAAGGTCCCACTGTCTGCAAGGTCCTGAAAGAAGAAATATTTTATTCAAGCAGGGAGTATTAAAACACAGAATCTGTTTGTGCACATAGCTCTCCAAGCTTTCAGTCTGGTCAATACATATAGTGCAATTAATGCAAAATGTAGAGCAAGAGCTGAAGGATGTCTGTATAGATCATATTAACCCAGAGATTACAAGAACAGTATTTATATGAATCACATTTATTACTCCAGGCTCACTCAGGAGCATCATATGAAAATTAAAACTTCATTTAACCTATAAGCAAAATGCAGACTATACCATGAAGTGTTCAAACACTGCAAAAACATTTGTAATAAAGTAATAAATTATGCAGAGCTGTGCAATTGCAAATAAACACACCCATACAATTATGTGTGGACTAGAAGTTTAGTCCCTGAGAGCTTTGCAGGTGGCAAGGTTTTGTAAGGACTTAGTATTAGACACGGGAGCTCTCTACACTGAATTATCACAGTACAAAGAAATTTTCCATCAGCTTTGAAAAGTTAGTTTGTCACAAAGCAAACTTTCCATTTGACCTAAAGTCTAGGACATACATCAACAACCATCTAAAAGGGAAAAGGTAATTCCCTGGATGTGCAATGAATTGCTTCTTTTTCAAGTTTCTTACTTCCGTCCCAAATCTCTCCCAGCTTTCAGATCAAGTTCTGTCCGCTACCTTGTTTCTTTTTAGAGGGAGCACAAATTTCACATCAATTTTTAAAGTATCTAAAGTACTCTATCTCTCTGTGCACTGTGACAAGAGCAAATAAAACCTACCCTAAATTTCAAAGCAATAGTACTGACTGCAGTGAAACAGATAACCCCAAGAAAAGGAATTTAGCAAGATAATAGGAAGATAACAACATATTACTAGGTCTGAGCTGTACTATAAAAATCAATTTATCATCACAGCAAAACAAACCTAACATTTGGTACTTGATACTAAGTGGTTTTTACAAAAATGGGAAATTGTTTTTCATTGAATTCATCCTGCTCACTTCAAGACAAAGCCCTGAACCCTCACACAGAGAAACAGAAGAGTCAGACCTGCAGAGCAGTGGCTGCAGTGTTAAGGGGATGGCATTTCTGAAGTGCAGAGTGTGTCACTGTCACTGAACTGCTACATTGCATTGGAAACCTTACTTCAGTACCTGTGACAAATGCACTTACACTGTAATTCTTTTATCTTTTTGATATAATGATCCCAACAATACAAGCCTTGAATTTTCATAGCCTTTATCTCTTCTTTTGGGCTAACATTGCTCCCTTTCCTACATTACTTTAATGGATATGGATGCAATATACAGCCTAAGGATTGTTATTTATTATCTTTTTGGAGCAGCTATTACACTATTTAGCAACTGGAAGTGAAAAGGGGGATCTGTCCTATCCAGCTTCAGGTATCTAACTGAGGTGTACAAGTTAAGAGGTTCACTGCCTCGAGCTCTTTGTCATTAAACATGGGAACATTTGTGAGCTGAACAGCACAGCAAAAATGTCCAAAACTTGTGCTGCCCTTCAATGCCTGCCTGTGGATCAGAAACAGTGCCTATAGTCACAAGACATAACATAAGGCATTATTATGTTTGCATAATAATATCAAGAAACTTCATCTGTTACTGAGAATAGAATGGAGATATCTTGACTTCATAATAAAACAGCCATTTGTTGTTTAACTCTTTTCATTTAATACTGACTTTCCTTACATTAAAAGAAAGACAAATACAGAATTATGACCAAAAAACACTCCACTCCAAAATAAAAACTGTATTTTCCCCCTACAACCATAAAGGTAAAATGCTTAGTAACTCTTCCTTGTAATGGCTTAAAACATCTAAACCTTAGAGAACAGTATTTGCCATCTTCAGACAAAGAGAGATAGAGGGCTTGAATAACAACAATAAAAACAAACTGTGGGAAAGATGTAGAATGACTGATCACATCTTGCTCCATATACAAGGAAGATTTATAATTAGCTGGTATCCATAAGATGCCTGCTCTTACTTGTAAAGAGGAATGTCCGGCTCTTTTCCTTCTGTCCTGAGAGTCAAGCAGCACTGCTGAAGCTGAGATTTAGGATCATTCCAATCTTGATTTAAAATAAACTCCTGTAGGAAGTCCACAAAGATGCTTTTATGATTGAGAGATTGCATTAAGAGTTTCAAATGCCACAATGTGTTAAAACACAGTGGCAGGAAAGTAGGAAACTGACTGATCTTACCTTTAGCCGTGGAAAAAAGCAAACATTCATGAAAGTGTGAACGTATTCCAAATCTTTATCAATGTACAGGGCAGCAATAAAGGCTGGGGGGGGGAAAAGGTACTGTCACACATCCAACAAGAGCATTATTGGCTTGCACTTTTAGAAACAAGTATCTCTGAGTACTTTAAAGCCATATTCAATTACGCTTCAGAGCAGTGATCTGATGAGGATATTATCTTGCATACATGGGGAAAAAAAAAAAAAAATCAAGCTGACCAAGAGATTAAGTGATTTACCCAAATCCACCCAGTCATTTAAAGTGCTAGAAACAACATTCTGCTCCTAATCTCACATTTTAACCAGGAGACCATGAATACCTACATAAATACCTAATAAATCACTAAATAAATAAATAAATACATAATAATCACTAAATACCTAAATAAATCACTAGTGGGTACCATAAAATAATTTAGATATAAATCACTCCTGTTTGTGTGCTATTTCCATTTGTTTACAGGATTTTGCAAAAGCCAAGTGGTCTGAATGGCTTGCAATATACATCAAAATATACAAGATAGGGATTAACTTTCTTTGCAGAATATTTATCACTGTTTCTATTTTATGGGAAAGGAGGCAGCACAAACTTCCAAAAATCAACTAAAAATAATTTCTTTTTCATGCAGCCTTCCCTCTTGTGGAGTGGCCATTTTAAAAACCTCCTCAAATGCAGACAAATGAACCACAGAAATATTCACCTGCTGAAGGAACTATTTTTTTCTTCCAACAGTGGCAAGAACATACTAATTAAACACTGAAATTGCTGTTAAATAGCTCAACTCAGAGTATAAGCTTTAACTTTGGAGACATGCTTTTGACCTGGTCATCTTGACCCCTCAATTTCTAAGCCTTCTACTTTCTATCTGCAATTATGCCTCCTTCATGCTTTTATACAGACTTCAAAAATCTAGGCTAGTCTTCAAAAATCTGGCTTCCAGAGGTATAGGCATAATTCATTTGGAAACCTGAACATACATTTTTAATAGTGATTTAGAGGATTTCTAATGGCTTTCTTAAACAAGCCCCAAGGAAAAGGAAGTCATTAAGTACTAAGTTATTATAACCGAATTAACTCACATTCCAAGAGATCAGCCAAAGTCTTAGTTCGAAGAGTTACAGGTCTTTTTGTCTTGTCATTAGTGATGGCAAACTCTTGCATGCCCAGCTCTTCTGCAACCTTGGCCTGTGTTCTGTTGTTCACCAAAGAACTTCTCAAGAGCTGCAAAAGAAAGAAGTTCCATTCCATAGTAACAATTACCAATAAAAAACTACAAAACCTAGGAGAGCTGGGGAGAAAAAGTTACTTTTATCCTTGAGGTTTCTCACTTCTCTCAGTTTACTGACATTTTGACTCAGAACATCTCAGGTGATTTATATACAGACACACTCTGTCACTCTTTCTACTGGTGATTTTTCTTTCTGTCTCAATTCTTCTCACCAATCTTTACTTATTCTATGGACACATTACTTCTGTATATAGTATATGTCATGCACTTAAAATGCTGGTTTCTGAGCTTCCTTGCAATTGTGTACCATCTTTTCTTAAGTCCTATATTTTCTCAGCTAATCTGCTGTTTTCCACTTTAAGTAATACACAGTTGTATACATTTTCTAAGTAAACAATATTCTGGAATCCATGGAACAGTCCCCAGTGTCCACCAAATACTAAATAAGTAAGTGGTGACTGGAAGAAATACACATTACAGCAAGACAGTTCATTGTTTCAGAATGAGCAGAGGAGGAAGCTGCTCTATTCCTTTGGCCAGAATAAAAATTACACCGATGGCCAGCCTGTATGTACTTACTATCTGCTCTGCTAGAAGGCAGCACAGTTGAGCCAATGCACCCCAGACACAGATGTGGCCTAACATGTCCCATATATGACAATGTCAAGGATGTGTCATGAAAATACTTAACCTTGGCTCCAGACAGATTACTTAAACATAGAGCTCTAACAAAGACATACAGCTCTCATACAGCTTAAAGGAGTATTTTGGAAATTTAGGGAGAATTTCTGAACCTTTGTCAGGGTCAGCATTTTTCCTGCGTGTTTGCTTTTTTGCTTTAAATGGAACAGCATTAAAGAAATTAGAGCTACTATAGGAGGCGAGGTGAGAAGAATGTTTCTCTTTTCCATGGTTTATGTGAAATCTAGAGTTGAGATGCTGCACACTCATTTTTTCCTCTCTTTGTCTTCCATATCACATTTGCTCAGCTTATTAGATACAAGTCATCTGCTACCTGGCTCTAGCACACCAACTGAGCTTATGAAAAATCAAGATTTATTTTCTGCACTTGATACTTCATCTCTCAAGACCAGATAAATAAAGAACAGTATGTTCATAATTTGTTTGTCAATGATGTATGAAGCAGATACTCACAAACTGATCTTTGTAAACTAGGCAAACTGCAGATAACATTATTACCTGCCTCCCTAACCTTTGTTTAAACTCATTTACTACTTGCTCCTTTTCAAAATTATTTTCTTTTATATCCTTAAGATAAATAAACTATACTTTCCCCAACAATATCCTAAGTAACCTAAGTACAATATCCTAATATGTAACCTATGAGACAGAAGTGCAATGTCCCATGACAAAAATCTTGTGCCTTGTAATGGGAGACGAAGGATTTCTTTTGTTGTGTTTGCAGACTATTTATTTTGATGGGATCCATAATCATGATTAGTAGTATCATAACACAAAGAGCAACATATACACTACCCAGTGAATTACAGATAGAAAAAAAACCAACTGTTATCCTCTTAGCACTCAGTTATCCTCTTAGCACTGTGGTTATCAACTTGCTCTCAAAATTAGAATTTGCCTCCTCTACACATGGGATTGGGCAAAAAACTCAATTCCTCTTAAAGATAGAGAGAAGACACAGTCCCTGTGACTTTCCAGCAGCTTTTTTAAGAGTTGGTCTTTGCACTGGTAACACACAGCCTACATCACTGCAGATGTTGTGACATATGATATGAGTTTGACTCTAATTACAAAGCAGTTTTTTTCCTACTTCTTCCTTCTTCACCCAACATAATACCACTCATGACTATACCAGAAGAATGTATCCATAATCCAGTACTGGAGAAGCTGTATCTTCCAACATCCAACAAAATGTCAACTTCTTTTCTGGTCCATTATTTGGCTATCTGCAAGTATGTAGGTATGACTATGTTTTCCTTTCTTTTTCTTAAATGTAGGTAATTTACAGACATCTCTCCACATGCAATCACTCCATACTGGGAAGCCACTGCATTGCCAGCCAAGTGGAATCCTTGATCAAAATTGCCCTCAACACACCAGACACCATTTAGTTGATGCTCTACTATTACTTCAGATTTAAGTAAGTTCCCAGATGACAGGAGAAAGAGCTTAGTGTTTGCTGTTTCTCGTAAGATTCCACTTTATCAGTCTATTTTCTCATGTCTCATTTCAGTTGTCACCAAATTTAAAAACATTTTAAGATAATTTTCTTTTTCCCTACATGTACATCTCCAGAGTTCAAATTTTATTTTAGGCAACTGCCTGCTTCTTCATATCTTTATGTTTTCAGCATCCACTCCACGTCATCTTTACGGTTTTAACTAAAAACTGAAGTGTGCAACTTGTACTTTCCAACTCACCAGCCATTACGTTAAGCAACAAAAAGACATTTTTCTGAGTATTTACACCCATTAATAACAACATTTCATATCCTCCTGGCCAAATAGTTCTTGCAAGAGTTACAAAACTACGGATGCCTACATTCTTAAAAGTCACGTAGAAAGCAAAAAACCCCACCAGACTTTATATCCTGTCTCCTGAATGGTGCAGAAGAATCCATACAAATGTAACTGAAACTTAAGAAATGGTGAAGAAAATCTCAAATTACTTCTAGTTACAGCTTATAATTTTCTCTTCTCTTGTAAACAGCTTTAGCCCAAAAGATTCAAGAATCATATTATTTTTATCTAGAATCGTAACACATTGCCTGCTACAGACTTAGCACTGTCATCCTTTTATTGATCTGAGGAAGCCACTCTAAAACTAGGCTGCTTCCTAACTTTAAGTAGAAAACTTGACTCACATTCCTGATACATGTATTGCTTTGCTGTTTAAGTAAACTAAAAAAATTTAGTAAGCCCAAGAAAATTTGTTATTTGCAAACAAAGCCACAACTCTCCAGCTGCAGGGCTAAATGAATCAATCAGGAAAACACTACTCATACTATCACACTGTATTTAAAGAACTGTAAATTGTTGAAAGATCCCCAAACTTAGTTGTTCAAAGCCTACATAAGAGAGGCTAAAAGGCTGTAGCAATCAACAGACAACTATAACTATAGTAAAATTAAATTCAAAAGCTACCCCAGGAACTCCAGACTGAAGACAAAAGGAAAACCAGACTAAAATAAATTGTAAAAACTTTCTATCAGGATGTAAAACTCTGCCTGTATGCATGTTCAACACACTAGAAGTCATGAATAAAAAAAAGTCACATGATACATCTATTTAAATAAATTGTTTAAACAAGAACTACTTTTAGCCTTCAATTTCATTGCTGACATCTTTAAAATTTTTGATCCATTTCACAGACTGAACAGAAGTTATTGCAGTGGGCTCATAAATCACCATTTTCTATTCATTGCAGTGCTCATGACTTAAAATTAACAAAGCCTTATTAAGAGAAGTGGTTGCTGAGGCTTCTTTTATTAATCAAACTCAGAACAATTCACTAGCTGTTCTGATAATTTCAGCCTCCATCCCACTCCTGCTCTTATGGAGAATATGATTGATGGCAGCCTCACCGTTAAGTGCCCTTCATGATGATCGGGGAAATGTATGAATAAATACTCCGTGGCTACCAACTGCATTATGGAGTCACCCAGGAATTCCATCCTCTGGTTGTGGCCTCTGAAAAATGAGACATCAATGCAGCAAAATCAATAAGCACTCAGTGAGGAAAAAACCAAAACCAGCATGCACACACAAATTAAAATGAAGAGTGATCTGAAAGTGAGACATGCTCATTTCCAAACACATTTAAGACAATTTTTCAGCGTTAATCAGGTGAGATGAAAACACAGCTCATTACTGTAGTAACACCAACTTACAGGCAAAAAGCAAATCGGGATAGCTACAAATAAATGCAATCATTAGATTACAGATCACAGACTAAATGAAGGAGAAGAGCAGTTGACATCAAATCTGTAATGGGATAGGATCTCTACCTCAAACTTGTTTTAAGAAAATGAACTGATGAATGCAGTGACCTCAACAGAGAAAAATGTCTGTCCATTCACAAGAAAGAAAAGGATCAGGGTTTACATTTATACAAGATCCTGGAGAGGGTAACCACTGATACGAAGTTTAACAAGGGCAAGCGTCAATTCTCTGTCTGGGACAACCCCAGTTGTGTGTACAGAGTGAGGAATGACAGGCTGGAGAGCAGCACTGTGGAACCTTTGGTCTTGGCTGATGGCAAGTTGAACATGAGCCAGCAGTGCCCTGGCAGCCAGGAGGGCCAAGTGGGCATCAGGCACAGCATCACTAGCTGGGCAAGGAAGGGGATTGTCCTGCTCTGCATTGAGGCAGCCTCACCTTGAATACTGTGTGCAGTTTTGGGCTCCACAATATAAAGACAACATTAAGCTGTTTGAGAGTGTCCAAAGGAGAGCAACTGTGATGGTGAAAGGTCTTGAGGGGAAGTCGTATGAGGAGCAGCTGAGGTCACTTTGTTCAGCATGGAGGGGACTGAGGGGAGACCTCACTGCACAGGGGAATGGAGGGGCAGGTACTGATCTCTTCACTTTCATGACCAGTGGCAGGGCTCAAGGAAACAACACGAAGCTGAGTCAGGAGAGGTTTAGGTTGGATATCACGAAGAGGTTTTTCACCCAGAGGATGGTTTAACATTGGAAAGGCTCCCCAGAGAAGTGGTCTCAGCACTAAGCCTGTCTGAGCTCAGGAAGTGTGTGGACAACACTCTCAGGCACATGGTGTGATTCCTGGGGTGTCATATGCAGAGCCAGGAGTTGGACTTGATGATTCTGATGGGTGCCTTCCAACTCAGCATATTCTGTAATACTGTTAGTTTGAAAACAGGGCCTGGCAGCTTTGCAAGCAACAGAACACAAGGGCTGTGCTTAGAGTGTAATTTTACTTCTTTTCTCTGCCCAAATGTACCCCCAGGTATGTTCTGCTATGGTCTCAGAAGTGATGTACAAGTATCAGTCATGCAAAAAGCTCAAAATAACACCAGGATAGGTCTCTAACACCTTTTACAGTCTTTCCCAAGATATTTGCTACTGACAACTGCCAGAGGTGGCACACTGAGCCAGGCGGGCTTGTGAACATAGCTGCTCTATTCCAGGAAATTAATGTAACATAGTTTGTTTGCAAACCAGGCAATCTGGAATACTCTAATAGAAGGGCCAACAGAGCTACATGAGGACTCTTGCTATGTACTCACAGAGTCAGATGGTTAAAGCCTACTGTCCTCAGAGTGAACGCACGTGCTAGAAGCCGAACATGAGTAAAGATGACTCCAATCGCCTCCTCAAACTCTGTAAGCTTTTGAAGAACTGGAGAGGTCTCAATGAGTTGCCTGTCAGTATTAGATTCCTGCAGCTGCAAGAAAAATGAAGTTTAAGTAATGACCAACTCCGTCAAGTAAGACTGCTGCAGAAATTTTCAGAGAAAAGCAGACCTTCTCTAAATCAAGGGCAAGGAATGCAATGAACAAGTTCCATGGACAGCTGAACTGAGAAAACCAAGTTTCCTCTGCCTTTTGGTCTTGGATAATTACCAGTCAAAGAAGAGATGAGCTCTGATGTATGCATTTTTAACAGCTGAGACACATCACTTACATACATGTCTCTGCATATGTATGCATTGTAGAATAATACAAATTTTCACCAAACATGTACAATTGTACATTTCTGCATTTTCTAACATTATCACATTGTTTGCAACTGAGCAACAGATTCAAAAATTATTAGAATAGGACTAGCAGACTGACAGTATGTCAGGGTGAGACAAAACCCAAATCAATCTCTCCCACTTTCCTTAAGTATCAAAAAATCAAGAATAAATATATTGATTATGAAATTCAAGAGAGCACACTAACACAAGAAAATTAAAATTATTGCTTTGGGTCAGTAGCTTTTCAAATCAGTTCCTTGTTTGACGTCCTTGATGTGATGACACTGTTAAATGCCTTTGTGGAGCTGGGAAATGGCTTAAGCATTTCCTCCACCCACTCTGATCATTTTTTTGATATAGCAATGCCTTAAAGGAGGAATTATCCAGAAGAGGATGCCTAAAAAAAAAGTAGGAATAACCACAGCTTTTTAAACCGGCATTGAGATAATTTTCAGTTTGCTGTCTGCCCCTTTTCTATTAATTGATTACATTCAATTTGATTCTTTTCTGTACTGAACATTCAGTTCACACTTTCATGCAGCTACACACCCTTGCACCAAAATCCCACACTAGAGAGATAATTGTCATTTTGGGGTTCAGCTGCATGTGGAGCTGAGACTGCTTTCTGCTTCCTCATGCACAGCCCTTTCTATTTACCTACACAGAATTTCTTCTGCTTTTTTAAACTCCACAGTGAGTCACCCTTGCATTCTCACTACCAGAGTGCAATTCTTCAGTCTGCTGTTGTCCCTGCTACCTGAAATAATTTGGTACTGTCAACAAACTGCCATCTCACTGCTCATCCTCTTCCCTAGGCTGTCAATGAGAACAGCCTCTACTTTAGCAAAGATCTCAAGGGAAATCTGCCAGTGATCACCATTCCTTGCAAGATGTGGTCATTTCACTCCTATTCTTCATTTCTTATATTTCAGCCATTCCTTTAAGTCTGGTAGGGACTGATATTTTTCACTGGAGTTGCTTTTTTTATTGATTCTTAAAAAAAAAAAAGATAAAAATTTTAAAAGCCTTTCCTGACTGTCTTTCCAACAGCCTCTCAGGAAACCCAGCAGACAGTATCATCTGCATTACCACATGCCGATTTGTCTTGTAAAACTTCCCATACATCTGTGAGGCAGGACTCAACTTTACATGTTGACTCTTTCTAAAGAGTCCATATGCATCCAGATGACCACTAATTATTTTTCAGAACCACTTCTACAGACTTGGCTACTGCCAAATACACAGAACTGAAGATCTGTAACTCTGTTATCTTAGCCATAGATATTTTTTTTATTATTTATTGATTGGGATCTCATTTGGCATACTGTTACAGTGATTTTTAGTCATTTTTAAAAATGACATTTTTCAGGCTAGCTGTGCCCAAAGGCCAGTCTGAGCTGCCTGTCTTTCGCCTACTGGCAAAACCCCCTAGGACGGTTTTGAGATGCAGAAGAAAACAATTTTCATCACACAAGTCAAGGTAGTAGTAAGAAATTACTTCCCACACTGATTGTTGCCAATTTCTAAGCAGAGTACAAGTCTTCTTTGGGAAAGCAGGGATGAAAAGGTTAAAACAAAGTAAGATAAAAGAAAGAAATTTAGATTAAGAACAATCTTCTTTGGAGTTGCATGTGCCACCATGCAGGACAGCCAGTGCTGAATCTCAAAAATATTATCTTCCTATTAAGAGTACTCTTTGTATTTACACTCAGAGGGATGTAGTTATAAAAATTCTTCATGTGTACTGATTTATTGCTGATGATTTTGGCTGTGCACTCAGTGCTGTTCTTGCAGCACCCTTGCACACCCCTGCTTGCACTGAATACAAGGAGCTACAGTGCAGAGAGGCTCTATGTCTGCCCAAGAATTCAGTAGGGCAGAATGGACTGGGACATCAGTCTCCTGACTTCCAGCCTCATAAACTGACAGCTTGTGAACTTGTATCCCTTGATACATGTTAGCCTTCAGACATCTTCATAATTTTAGTGTTTAAGTGGTAATTAAAGTTACTGGAATCACTGAAACAACCACACTATCATTGCATGGGCACACACACTCAAAATCAGAATAGAATCAAATTGAAACAGAATCAAATCAAAACTTCTATGGCATTCAATTAATGTGCCTTCTAACTATTAAGGTTTCAGTCCTAATTTCAGGTTATGAAAACATGTTCATAGATTGTTTTTGCACCATTTTCCTCCAACTAAAAGAAGACAAACAAGAAGCTGTCAAAATGCTACCTCTCACTGGATTTATTGTATAGGCACAGTTATATAACAAACATGAGCCAAGGAAAGGTGAATGACTAATTCTCAGAAATGCAGAAACTCACTACTTATTTAAAAAAAACAACAAAAGAAATCATAAACCAAACACAAAGGAAAACATATATATTATTTTGGCTACACTTTAGCACAATTTCAGAGATGTCATCACAATGGAAACCTATGGAAAAGCATCCCTGAAAATAAAACAGAACTGTGAAATTTATTACAGAAAGGGATACACTTACTTGGAGTGGGTGTAGTGGATAATTAAGCCATACATCCCGCAGGTCCTGCAAACATTGAGAGATGCCTTTAATGCTCAAGGGAGTCATTTAACAAATTCCACAGTACTAAATAAAATGTCATTACTTGAAATACTGAACTATTTCAGATGCTGACTCTGCTTATTGCAAATTCAATAGTGCTGGCAAACTAATTTTTAAATTCGTGTATTTGCTGTTCAAACTGCCTGTAGTTCTCCCAATTAGCTTGTGTCAAAGAGGTGGAAAAATCCTTGAACCACATAAAAAGTGGTTAAAGGAAGAAAAAGATTTGTTTAAGCCTCAGGACTAACTTTATTTGCAAGTACTCCTCAGTAGCAAGTTTGACTTCTCCAAAGGCAAGGACTGAAAAAGAAAAAAAAAGAACCACTTATTTTCTTCTATCTCATAAAGGCTTCCTTCACTACAGCCACTGAGCAGCAAATAAACACTGAGTTACAATAGGCTTCCAAATACTTCTATTTCTAATAAGTTTTGTTATTTCACAGACTTAGAGGAAGGAAAATGATATACAGCTCATCCTCTCACCACTGCCATGTGCTGTCCCAGCGTGGCTGCTTTCTTTCACCTTTATACAGCACATGTTCTAACTAACAGCCATCTAAGATACAGCCTCATCTATTATTGCACACTGCAATTGTGCAATTGGGTAAATGCTGAATGAAACACCGTCCTTTTTTTTTTTCTTTTCCCAAATATATATTTAAAGCTTTTAGGGTAGGATGATTAAAGTGATGAAACAGAACAGCTGCTCGACATGTGCATCATTCCCTCCGAGCCTGACACCTGGATCCGCAGCACCCATTTCTGTTTTCAGAGCAGCACTTTGAATGGAAGCTGTCAGGTTTCCCACACCACCCACCCTTCCCTACCTAAGCCAGAAAACCTAAAGGACACCTGAGAAAACACCGTATTTTTTTTTTTTGCCTGGATCAGTGCAACTTGCTGTCCTAATTAAATTTCTAGGAACTACATAAAACAGTACCTCTGTTCATTTGTGATCCTTAAGTAAAATAATGGATGGGAAAGCACATCTAGTTATTTTTGAACTGGAAATCAAATCATGTAAGTACATAAATACCTTTTCATTGAAGAGCAAACGTCCAAATAATTGTTTTGCTTCTTCTAGGCTTCCCTCTAGATAAACAGCTCCTACATGACAGGACCAATATATCAAAGGTCAATAATGCAATTAGTACTTAGAAAATTACTAAGAACAAGCAAGTCAAAGATCTTGGACTTCTTCATCTCCAACGCATTCATTTTTAAAAGCATGCTTTCTGTAGTAAATCCTATTTCTTGGAGAAATTTAAAGCATGTTAAACACCAGCATAAATCAGCAGTCATAAAATGCAAAGAAAAACCTGAAATAATATATATCAGTGATAGAAAATGATACATCCAAAGAGCAAAGTTCAAACAAATTAACCTAGATGCAATACATTTCCAAAAGTACTTTCCAGTAAACTGCTAACTATACAATTGTACTGATTTCAGCAGGAATAGAGTTAATTTGCTTCACAGTGACTAGTACAGGGATATGTTTTCCATTTTTGCTGAACACAGGGTTGGTAAACAGAGATGTTTTTGTTATTGCTGAATAGGGCTCACAGAAAGTCAAGGCCTTTTCTTCTTTTGGTACTGCCACACTGGAGAAGAGACTAAGGGGTGTTTGGGAGGCTGGGAGGAGACACAGCCAGGACAGGTAACCTCAACTGACCAAAGGCATATTTCAGATTGCATGACATCATGCTCTGTATATAAACTGCAGGAAAGAAGGGGGAAAGGGGTATGCTTGGAGGAATGGTGTTTCTCTTCCCAAGTCACTGTTATGTGTGACAGGGCCCTGCTCTCCTGGAGATGGCTGAACAGCTGCCTGCCCATGGGAAGCAGTGAAATGATTTCTTGTTTTGCTTTGCTTGTATGCACAACTTTTGCTTTCCCTATGAAACTGTCTATCTCAACCCATGACTTTTCCAACTTTTATGCTTCCAGTTCTCTCCTCAATCCCCCTGGTGGAGGAATGAGCGAGTGGCTGTGTGGGGCTTGGCTGCTGGCTGGGGATAAACCGCAACAGCAACATTTGCAGATAGGGAAACCCACAAAATACATTTGTACAACAAATAATTGCCATTTTTCTAAATTTCCAACAAGATTACACTTGGATATAAATGATGCCTCAGGACTATTGCAAAGCTCAAAGCCTTCCTTAGGCTTCCTTCCTTATTGGTATCACAATAATTTATTGTCTGAACAGGAAATGACATCTCTGTGTGCCTCCATTTTTGAAGATTGTTTGGTTTTTGTTTTTTTCAACTTCACACATAGCCCTCACTAGCCCTCTACACATGTCCATCAGCAACAGGCTCAGCAAAATTTGTGTTAACACATATTTTTGGGTGTATGCTACATATACTCTCTATCTGCACAGGTCCTTCTTAAATTTAGTATCAACATTTTGTCCTTCAATACTCTTTACAGGAGAGCTTCTGAAAATCTCAAACTTGCTTTGTAAGCATAAAAGCAAATGGAATACACAGCTACATCAAGAACACAATGAAAGGGAGTGCATGTTCTCACACACAAGAAGAACATGATTTTCCTTGCCTTTCCCCTCCCCTTTGATTTCTCACTAGGTCAACTACTTTCTTTGGACTCCTTGAAGAACAGTCTGGTGGTTTATAAGACTAATTTTGCAGAAGAATATTATGAGAGCACAAAATTATAAACAATTCCCAGGCAACCTGCTCACACTTCTGTTTTTTATTTTCATCACAGGGACTTTGTGATGAAGCACCAGACTTTGCAGAAGAGCCTCAAGTAGGAGTTCCAGACCCTACATATACTTTTATAGTTCCTTAACAAGCTCTCAGATTTTAGCTACAGCACTGACAAAATCTTATTGCTCAATTAACTTTCTGAACGGCTTTGTATTGGAGGTTAAACAGCAAGCCTGCTCTCTCAGCAAATCTCAATGCTTGCCAAATAGTTCTCATCACTACATCCTAGACAAGCTGAAGCCCAAGAACAAAGACAGAGATACATATCTAGTGTTCCTCTTCTGTTTGCTTTTTATTTTTAAATTAAAGATCAAAGCGTTCATGGAAAGCAAAATAGAGTTAAAAGAAAAACTCTTATTTCTTGATAAGAGGAAATGCAATCTGGCCCAAGGCAGAATGCACAGAACTGTTGACATCTAAGCCAACTATGATCTATTTTTCAAAGCAGGACAAAATGCTTTAGGAGCTTGTGTAGCACATAAAGACCCGCATCAGGGCTAAACCATTCCCATAGCTAGTAACTTGTACAGTACATCTCGATGAATATGAAGTCAAACCAGTGAGATTAACTTGCTTTGTGTACTCAAAACAAGTAAAAATTCATAAAAATATGCTATCTAAAATAGAGGTTGTGCAGATGTAACCAGTGAGATTTCCACCCTCCTTCCTGGTAGCCAGTCAGGCTCTGATCTACTCTCCAATATAAACTTATGCAGCCAGTCACTAACCAGCATCTTAGTGCCCTACAGCAAATTTGACACAACTTTCCTCCACCCTCAGCTAGAGGGTAGCTTTATTACACCAGCCATGGCATATTGCCATGCTTTTTACCTGCAAGAAAGGTGCAAAGAGGAAAAGGTATTTACTTTGCAAATTCACAGAAGGCAAGCAGGGCACAGAGAAAGTAGTCTGGTGACTCAGTTGGGAGTGCCTGATGAATTCAGAAGGCAAGCTGCAGTTTAAAATTCAGGGATGAGGTTGCAGGGAAGCAGTGAACCTGCTTATTTTCTGTCAGGCCCCGGTGACTGAACTGCTCCCCTCAGACAGGGGGCAGGTGCCAGGCCATGTTGGCACAGGAGAGACGGAGCTCTGCAGTGACGTGAAACGGCTTCACCTTCAGTGTGTGGGAGCCAGGATACGGAAGATGAGATTTTCATGGTTGTACTACACACTCGTGTTTATACAGGAGGCATATGTGCAGGAGAAGGGAAGGGACAAAGATGACGTAAGAAGCTTTACTACTGCCTACTAGCACTACTCAACAGGCCCACACCTCCTCCATCACAGTCAACAGGGCACACAGACACGTATAAAACGTAACTGTCTGCACACACAAATGCAGACTCCTTACCTATCAGGGCTTCAAAGCAGTTGGCCATGGCATGGCGGAGATCTGACTCCCTACAAAGGTCTGGACCATGAGCATAGAGCATGAATCGTTCTAGTTCCAGCTTCTGCAAAATACGTAGAAAGAGTTAAAACCATGGTTTTAGAAGTACAAGAGTACCAGTTTAGTCACTAAAGTTCAATTACACTGTCGTCATACAGCCACCAGGTTAGAAGGAACTGTGAAGCTTTTCTCCGTAGTTTCACTTTAAACACAGGCTAAAATGAAAACATTTCCTTTGTTTATCAGAGGTTATAAAAACCAGTGTGATACCATGGAAAAAACTAGAATTATCAAACCAAAAGAAGCTAATGCAGAACAGTGAGGAATAGGAACTCTGGTAGACACAATCCATTGAACACCTGGCTTTTTCCTCCAATACCATCAACAGGTGTTAGCCTCTGGGAACTGCAAGAGAGGGCTCATATTTTAATCTGCAGTGCCACCTAGCTTCCTTCTTCCTTTCAGAAATGCATCATTAACACTCATGTATTGCCTGAACTATAGTTCTGCTTGCCAGTCAAAATCTCATGGAGTAAGTCAGATATTTTCTATAATATATGATAATTCCGCTATAGAAATGCAGGCAAGATCTCCTACATTCTCTTTACATATTCGTCTTTTTGACACAAAACCATTACTGGGATTTTTAAAGAAGAGATTTGTGCATCTCTCAAAGTTTGTATGAGAATAGGCTCTTCCCAGCTGGGTGTAAGTTTCTACTGATTAATTTCTTGTTAACTTTCAACTTCATCTCCCAGAGTATAAAGCTGGAGACTAAATTGCTTGAGATGCATGGTTGAGACATATTTCAATTGCCAAAAAGAGTTTTCCATTTTCAATGAATGGCAGCCTGTTCACTGCTTCAGAACACTGTGAATTACAACTTACAGTGTTCCATCATACTTTATTATGCACAGTGAGCACTTTCCACAGTCAACAAAGGAGTAGAATATTAATTGTCTCATATAAAATTTAAACTTCTTAGACTTATCATTTGATCCTTAATTATGAACAGCATTCCACAAGTTCAAGAGACATTGAGAGACTGAGAATTATATTAAGTGAACTGAATGCAACATTTCAGGGTATGAAACCAGGAACATCATGTAAAACACATGAGATGAACAAAGGGTAAGTTGGAAAATTCAGAATATACAGATATCTAGTATTTACAGCTGTATCTACAGTTTTTAAAAATACTGCAATAGAAAAATTCAAAAATTGTCCTTGTACAATGATAAAGGTTGTGAACAGACTTGAAGAAAAGATGAGCTTTCCTGATGCAGGTTCAAAACTAGTATCATGAATTCAAATACTTTGGTATTTGGTATTCAGGCAATACCGTATTTGTAAACAAAGCCGTGATATGAAACATTTCAATCAATTCATGCTTATCTAAATTAATAAAGAAAGACACGGAAAAAAATTATTATGTTTACTTCCTACCCTATGCCTCTCCTGAGAGCTGAGCAAAAAGATGGTATGTTAGAAATCCTGCAGTTTTTGCCAAAATCCCAAGACTGGATATGCTTGTTTAGGGCACTGTGTGATTACAGAGAGGAAAGATTAAAAGAGCAACTTGAAAACTCTCAGCAGTACACAGTGGACAGTGTGTGTACATGTCTGGCATAATCTATACCAGTAAGTCTCAGAATCAAGAACAAATAAGGGAATACCTGTCTATTTATGCATAGAGATTGAATGAACTTTCTGTATCATAATACCATGCAGCAGTATCATATACAGAGACATAAAAAGCTCTGTCATTCACAGAACTAAATTAAATAAAATTCTATGTCATCTTAATTGTTCCTAGGAGCTAATAACTCTGTTAAAGCCCTGTTTAATGTACTTCTGATTACTCTGAACATCTATAGTGGAATGGAAAAGTACTTCACAGGTTATGGAGCAGATGAAAATTTTCCCCCCATTTTTCCTACCTCTTGTTGCCATGTTCTCCCTAGATATTCTATCAGAAAGTCCTCTTATAAACATTTTTATAAGTTTGATTCTTGTAAGTTCTACTGTCAGCTTCATTACTTGTGCAAATTAAAGGCAAGTATAGGCACAACTTCAACAAGGGCTAAAAACTTTATGCCTAAAATCTTTATGCCTGCAAAAATCACTTTTTCCAAAAGCATGCTTTGGAGAAAACACGAAGTTCTCCTTTATCTTCAAAATCTACTTTCAAACCAAAAAGCGCGTCTGGGTGCCAAATTTTATACACAAAACACAGCGAAGAAAGTAATGTTCAAAGCAGGCAGCTCCCTCAAGAAGTAGTGCAGACCCTCAGAGTGCTCCACCCACAGATGTCAAGCACAGAGACACAGAGAGCTGTACCTTAGCCAGCATGGCCAGGTGTTGGTTCTGCACAATGGCAGTGCGGTACGTAGCTAATCCTCCTTCCTCCAGAGTGGGAAACAGGTAGTATAAGTGGACACTGGCAAAACAAAAAGCAAACCAGATGCTGTTAGTATTTGATTAAAGATGAACCACATACACCAGTAGAGAACTGTGCCCTTCCCCACTCAGACCCTAGTGAGTAACACAGGTCTGTTCCCAAAGTGGGACTCAGCTTGAAGTAAGGTAAAGATACAAACATTCAAACAATGCCAAATCCTGTCTGACAGGATAGCACTGTCAGCAAAGGAGGAAGAGTGCCGTTCCTCAGCTGGGCAGATCTAAATCTCTGCTCCAGCCTGCAGTCCCCTCATCTCAAGTTTCTAGCAGCAGTAGCAGCAGAGGGTTCAGCACAGCTGACACCTAGAGGATGCTGAGGAACAAAGCTCAAGGGAAGCCTGAGCCTTGAGAAACGCCGTGATGTGAGTACAGGGCTTTCAGGTGACGCCGCTGCCAACAGGATATCTATCTGTTTATACACATCTCTTAAAGTACTTTAACAGATGCTAATGAAAACAAAGAACAGAACTCAACAGCCTGGATTTATCAAATGGGTGAAGTCATTGTACCACAAACCACAAAAAAATAAATATATCTATATATATATATATATAGAGAGAGAGAGAGAGAGAGGGGTAAAAATCACAGGCTTTTAACAACCTTTAATGGTATTTGTCATCAGGCTAGCAAGGTATTTCATAAAACAGAAACAAAACAAAACAACTAATTCACTGATCTCATCAAGATCTGAGTATTAAATAAATGATTTTGGATACTTTTATCAATGACTATCTAACCCATGTTGAAAAAAGTTAACACATAGAGGGTTTTCAATGTTCCACAATTAAGGCACTGTATGGCACTAATTATTACAGTATTTTATTAAGCCAGTAGACAGGGAGAAAAATGCAGATGGATGTAAGATTATTTAAGGACAAAAACTGATATAAAACTTAGCATCAATCTAATCAAGCATCATAATTCATAACAGCAGACACCTGAAGTTGAGAGGTAGAACAAAAAATCAGACTTAAATAGGTGCTTACATGCTCTATTGAACAGAAATGGAGCTCTTTTTTTTCTGAATCGAGACAAAAGTTAGCTCAGAAAGTGAACTGATGGTTGATGAACAATGACAATGAAAAATGCAAGACATTTTAATCAGCAAGTCTTCCATCTTATCATCCTGTACTGTTGTATGAGAGAAAAGGCCATGAGTTTTAAGGGCAGTGGAGACCTTTATAGGCTAATAGTTTTTAATATCACGTAGCTAATGGCTAGTAGAGAACAAGAGATATAAAGGCAGTTTTGTTGTTCACGTAACAAACTTGTTTAAAGAGCAAATTAGCAGTAAACAAGACCACACTTATATTAAAAACAGTAGAAAGCAGGTGAAAATAGATTATAATCCTTATATTGTGCAACCTGTTTGCCTCTACTAAAGTACGGTAGAAAAATGGATAACTAATAATATGCCTGTATTGTTCACTGATTTCAGAATACTCAGGGCAGAGCAATTTTTGATGAACTATGGGGTTTTTTCATTACTTTTGATTAAACTGCATTTGTGTTTAATTGCTTAAGCTTTTATGGAAGCTACAGCCCTAATTACTGGAAATACAAGAACTGTAACACATTCAACATTACCCATAAATGCTTCTCTCTTGCAACTAGACAAAAAGAACCCATGGAAACAAAACCTAGCATGCTAGGAAAAATATCTTTCCTTTAATAAAGGGGTACAAAGTTCAACTTGTCTATAGCTGAATAATCTCTAACCCAAATCAATTTAAAATCACATTCCATGAAACAGAAACTCTAGCTTTTTATTTTGTCATCTTTCTTGTTTTATCATGACCACTGAAAGAATTATCAAGAGAGTTGTCTGCAGGTGTGCAGGTCTAAATATCAGGCAGGACTGCAAACATACACAGTGAAAGTAGACACTGAAAAGTTCAATAAACACAACACTATAATAATAATAACATACAAAGGTGAGAACTGCTGAAGAATTCCCCATTTACCTTGTTAAGAACTCCACCACAGCATCTCCCAGAAATTCTAAACGCTCATTGTGGTTAATCCTGAAAAAGGCATTTTAAAGTTCACCATAACCTAAGTAACACATACTGGTTATTTACACAGCACAATTAAAACAGAAAAAAAAAATCAGAGTTGATTGCTGATCAGTCATGATAGTCAGTTCTGCAGCCTCCCCCACCCTCTCTGGATTACAATCCTTTCCAAAAAAGAGTAATAACTATGTGAATCATGAAACTCAGGACTGACACCCCCACCTTCGAAATTTCAGTACATTCTGTTCCAAGCCATTGTCAGAGCTTCACAAAATGGGGAAAAGAAACAGGACTGTTGCCTGGCACTGAAGTCAGGTTTCTCTGTCCATCAGAGGGCACCAGGTGATTGAAACAAATAGCCTGTTCTGAGCCTTGTGCATGATACTAGGGAGCTCTACCTAATTAACATCAACACCTGCAGGGCAGGATGACCCTGCAGCAGATAGTTTGTATGGTAGAGGGAGTAAGAACTTGAATTTTTCATAGCACCTTTAAATGCCTTGCTTTCTGTAATTTCCTCTGAGCTCAAAAGATAAAATGGCTTTACCAGGAGATGCATCCAAAGATGCCATTAAGTTATTAGAATCCTTTATTTCCTCTGTTTTCTTTCATCACTGCTCCTGATTTACCTTTGTTTTGCATAAAGTTTCATTTCCTTCAAGCTGCCTGCCTGCTTATATTCAAAGGACTAAAAGGGCAAGCGGCTGAGAAAGAATGTGAGCTTGTCTTTGAATACATACAAATTTTCTGCTCTAGACATCAAAGCAAGTAAGCAGCACCAGTTTTGATTTCACACGATTGTAACAGAAACAAGGCGATTGCCACAGGATTTTTTTTTTTAATCCAGAGGATCCCTGTCAAGTGTTTGGCAGCTTCTATTGTAATTTTCACTCCCCCAGCAATTATATAATTAGTGCAATTTCTGAAATAGCAGGCCTTTGTTATGGGTGGAAAGAATTCAAGTACCTCTGCTGCATAAAACAGAGTGTGAGCAGATCCACAACAACTCTATGTAGCAATATAACTGAAAACACACTCTCAGAAATGGGACTTTATATTTTTGTGTTATTTCACAGGAATTAATGCAATTTAGCCTTATGCTATCTTTAGAGGACTCAAATAAGCTTGAAGAGAAAAGGGCATGGTCTAGCTGAAACAGCATTTAGGGAACAGTCCAACAACCATTTAGCAGAATTAAATTTCTCCTATTCCCAAGCTTCTTCCGAAATCATGGCTCTTGAAAGGTCCGGCTACAGCACTAGCTGACTAAAATACACACTGCCATCTAGTTCATACATTTAAGAGATTTCACATGCAACTGTTTCTTGCATTAGCCTTGTGAGCTTTGTTTGTTCAGCTTCAGTTAAATATGGTGCCTGTGACTGTAAACCACGCATTAAACTATATTTATATACACAGAATTCTTAGTGGTCATTTACGGATTATTGCATTACTACGTTAATGGGTTTTGCATCTGTCTTTAAATTGGAACAGTAAATCAGCAAAGCCCATGTACAGCACCACGCTCCTGTTAACAAGGTGCCAAGCCAGGAAGGTACTACTGTGAGAAAAAGTGATGAAGAATCCAATTTATAGCACTGATAACAACAACAAATCTTATTTTTAGTTCTGCAGAAAGCAAAAATGTAGCCTTTTAGTCCTCCTCATTTCAGGGATCAACAAAAATGATAGAATTATCTGTTAAAATCTTCCTCAGAAGTTTTCTGCAGGCATGACCAAACATTTGCTATGTGACTGCTAATGGAGGTTCAGCACACTTTCATAATATAAAAGTCAATTCAAAATGACTTTTCACTTCAACTATTTGCCAAAACTGTTGCTGACAGTAAGTCGGTTGTTTCTATTAAATATCTCCCTCTGCAGCAGCTTCCCTACTTGCAAACAACTATTTTCATTACCTGGAAGGAGCTGGATCATCCTGTCCCAAACGGGACATAATATTTATCAGGGTGTTTATCCCTAAAAACATAAACAATGCACTATTAAGTAAACAGCCACTAATTCACTTTGAATAAATGTAGAAAACAATTACTCAAAATGTTACTTTGTAATTGCTGTACACAAGATTATCCTGTTATTTACAGGGTTTATTACATCAAGTATAATCCTTACCAATGCTCTCTGCCTAACTGACCGCAGCCCCATTACAACAGTATTGAATTTTTGCATTCAGGGAGCCAGATAAATACCACCTTTGCATGAAAAGGACATTCTAAACATTACATAAGCAACAAAAATTTTATTTCATTATCTCTGAGTATACTTTAAAGGGGTGAAGAATATTTTGCAGCAGACAGACCACATGTTCACATTAGTAAGACACATTTACAAAATATATTCCAGTTTGTTCACCACGTTGAGCAGCAAATTAAGAAAATAGTACTTGCCAAAAATCTAAGCAAATGCATTCTCCCATTTATTACCCTTGCCTGTTCTCAGCTCTTTACTTACTGACTAATTTGCAAAATCCAGTCTTTTAGAAAGACTTCTCCAGTCTCTGCATATAATCATTGAAATCCTCTACTGAAGGCATCTCTCAGAAGAACAACAGCCAAGGAAATGATAATGGGACAAAGGGTGTTCTTACTGATTAAGTGTGAGGTACGAGAAAAATGTTAGTGGTGTAAGTAGCATACCTTTTTTTCTCATGTGTATATGGTGAACTTTTCTATCTCCATACTTGGGCTGTCGAATCCCACAGTTGGATAAGGAATTCCTGGCATGATCTGGATTCATCCCAAAATTTAAATGGTGACTTGGGTGGGTCATGGCAAGCTATAGTGTAACACATTCAGGAAAAAGAAGTGTTAAATGTATTTTTGCAAATGAAACAAAAACATTATCTTAGACTGGTAGCTAGTAATAGTTATTTTTCAGTTTGAAGAAAGGTTACAAAATGATGTAGTCAATCAGAAACTTGGTTCCAGCAATTTAAATGTAGGGTGAACTATTTCAGATGTCAGAAAGAAGCAACATTTATGCCCAATCATCAATTTAACTAATTAACTTTCATCTCTTTTTTCCTTTGGAATAAAATTAGTTTAGAAGAGAAAAAGCATGAATTGTCAATTTGCCTTAAGACTTTTGCTTACCAGCTTTGCTGACCTGATTTCAATACATTTGCTTATTTAAAAATATATTCACTCTAACACTGAACTATAAATATTCATATTAAAAATATAAGCAATTAGAAGAGCTTCTCAACCATCCATATTTGCATTACTTAAATATCTATAAAGCTCTCCAAGCTCAAAAAATGAAACAACAAGTACATTATTCCTGGCAGAGTTAATCATAGAACAACTCTTTCCCTCATGACTATAGAGGACTGACTCTTCAAATGGAAGAGGAATGACAGGACTCCTCCTGTTTTACCCTTGTACCACCAAGGATTACCAAAAGCTTACTCTGCTGCTGACACCATCACTGCAGGAATGGCAGCAGCAAGTAGAACTACAGCTTGTTTTTCAGAACTCCATCTTGCAAACTCGCACATTTTTTCCCTTTTTACACACACACAGATCAAAATATTGTGCTTGTATAAAAGTATGTGCGCATGAAACTTGTGCATAAAAAAGAAACGCTGGAAAATACAAGCTGCAGAAAGTTACTTCTGACACACATGCAGGACTGGTGCTGCAGACTGTGAGCAAAGACATTCAGTAATTAATTCAAACATTGTCTGTTGCTTTCTAAGCATAAAACTTAAAGTCAAATTATATTTAATCAACAATAAGAACTTTCTCCAAGTCCTTTCTAATTATTCCTTGATAGTATTACAAAGTTTGTTGTAATTGAACATTCTCAAATTCTGCTCCATCTGGACTAGATGACACATTACAGCTTTTCTGAATAGATAACTCAGCATAACCTTTTTTAACCTGCCTGTACTTTAAAAAGAACACACCATGATAAAATAGGTAACAGTAAGTGCAGAATTATACATCTAACATTGCCTATGCTCAAGCAGATGACTGACACTATATACATTTTTAAAAAGCTCTTCCTCTTATAGAAAATGTTTGTAGGTTTTAAATCAATGAGTATAGGGACAAAGCATTAAAAAACACATTTGTTATAACCAAACATGACTAATGCTTACACATTTGATTTTATGCTTTCATCTCTTTCTGTTCAGAATTTACTTGTTGGTTTGTGTGTTTGGCCACAACATTTTGAAAGTTTCCATCACTGCATTTTTATACTTGATATCAATTCAAAGAAAGCCTGCCAACAACCAAATCTTAGAAGGTATTAAATGTTTAATGTAACTTGTAGTAGGAAAAGGCCTAGAAAATAAATTCTAGAAACCAGAAAAGCTGTGAGAAAAGACATTTCCTTAAAATAATTTGGGAGTAAAATCTCTAAAAAACTGCCAAGTTTTGAACTTAGTCCAGTCATTGGAGAGAAATGACGCTTACTTCAGAAGTTCTGAACAAAGTCCCCAATTTCCTTCAGTAAATAAAAAAAAAATGTCTAACAGGAAAGGGGTTGATGCCAAGCATCAACCTCAGAAGTAATCAGTTCCAAATAAGCACTAATATAAAAGGCTGGTTACGTGATATGGATGCATCTAAAACAAGTAAGAAATTCTCCTCCCCAGTTCCTGCTCTTGCTTGTTAATAAAAAAAATTCATCATGCACTTGCAGAAATTAAGAGCTGAACAGAAGTTTAAAAACTTCTATTCACTATCTCCAAATGTAAAAAAAGGCAATGTTTGAATTATTCTCTTCTGGCTCTAAAAACAAGAAGCAAGGCACATATACTCATTTGCAGAATTAACATTGTATTCTCTATAAATACCTTAAATGAGAGTCAGAAATGAGTACTGGACAGTCTTTTCAGTAACTGCATTTTAGTAGTAGTAAATGCTACACATTACAAGCAAAACCACATCTACCATGGGAGCAAAGGTAGGTGCAATATCTATGTGAACAATCAATATCTCTATTTAGAAGTCTCTTGGGAAAATTGAAATTTTCCAAAAATCTGCGGTACAAGTAATCATGTCCATCCAAGCTGTAGCAATGCCGTGCATTTCAGCACTATGGATGAACTCAGTAATATCAAGAAGAGAAACCAGCAAGAGCTTGGGGTTTTCTTTTCATATCTTACCTGCAGTAAGCACCTATCTCTGAAAGTGTAGCCTATCAATTTGTCCAAGTGCATCAGACACTGATGATAGCGGACATGGTGGGTGAGGACAGGAAGCATCATGGCATGCTGAAAAAACAAATGCAATAAGCAAAAACATACAACTTCAGTGTACAGAGAACTCAGATGACTGAGCTAAAAATGCAAACACTTCCCAATTGTTACAGCACTTAGTTTACTGTTTTGGTTTAAATGAAGAAAAAAAAAACAAACCATCATTTCCCATCTTTCACTTATCAAAGCAATTAATCATATGTTTTTATCTCCACAGTTCTTCCCAGACTAAAGAAATAAACACATAAACCCAGTCTTCAACTTAAGTAACTTCAGTGAGGTATAAAAAATGTCTGCACACCAGTAACAGCGAATTTCAAGAAGCTATGACTGAATACAATGCTGTATGTTTGTACCTTTTCACTTAACACCCTGCTTCAGAAATGAAGAAACATCACTTCTGCTCTGCCTCGTTACATTAAGGAAGAAAGACTTTACACCACTTTAGCCAGCTTTTACCAAACAACAGTAGCTACTCAATTTTCAAGTACAGTTATGCCTTGCTTCACTTCCTTTTGAGGAAGAATTATGGGATTTTTGAAATGCTGCTGTCTGCCACATTTAATGTGCTAAAAAATATCAGAAAGGTTGCTGTTTGTCTACAAAACAAAGTGGTTTTTCTGTTGGGGAAAACATCAGTAAGATTGAAAAAAACAACAACTCTCTTTTGTAACAATGGCAGTCCCCCCTCGCTGTGTTTCAAAGAAGGAATTCTACATTAATATTGACTTTGGATGCATCTGGGTTGAAATAGGCAATTAGTGTAGTTTATCAGTAAAATAGTATAGCAAGTATGATATCAATATCACAATTCTTGCATAAGAATGAAAAGAGAAACAGTAGAAATGCAGGACTTTTATGCATGTGACCATTTGTGAACTAGTTTTTTTCTAATCATTCCTATTACAGATATGACATGAATATATTCAAAATGCAGGTGTATTTTAAGGGCATTAAGATCTCAGGGCTGTCATAATTAATTCAGAAAGAGGATTCTGCATGGTTAGAGGAAACCAGTGTATAGCATTGAGAGAAGCAAGAAAAACAAGCACACAAAGTAGATGATGTATAATTTACAGAATAAATGATGTTACAGATTTCTGCAGGTCACTAACAACAGAATAGCAGAAAATACAAACTGGTGAACATTACAAGATCAAAAATTAAGACTAACCAATGGCAAGACTTTCTATTTAAGTAAAAGACCATGAAATTCCTGAGAACTGAACACAGAGCTGGAAGGCAATCACAGAATCATTTAGGTTGGAAAAGACCCCTAAGATGATTGAGTCTAACTGCTTAAGTAACACTGTAAACTCCACCAACTAAACCACGTCCCCAGGATCTTTATAAATACCTTCACCAATGGTGACTTCACCACTTTCCTGGGCAACCTGTTACAATGCTTAGTCACCTTATCTACAAAAAAATTATTCCTAATATCCAGTCTTAAGCCCCCTTGGTACAACTTGCAACCATTTCCTTTTGTCCTGTCACTTGCTGCCTGGAGAATACACCATCTCCCACCTGGCTACAGCCTCTTTTCAGGCAGATATAGAGAGTGATATGGTATCCCCTTGAGCCACCTTTTACCCAGGCTAAATGACCCCAGCCCCCTCAGCCACTTCTCAGACGTGTGCTCCAGACCCTTCAGAAAGGCACACTGCCCTTCTCTGGACCTGCTCCAGCCCCTCAATGTCCTTCTGGCTGTGAGGGGCCCAGAACTGAATGAAGGACTCAAGGTGCAGCCTCACCAGTTCCAAGTGCAGGGGGCTCTGCTGGCCACACTATTGCTGATACAGGTCAGGATGCCCTTGGCCTTTTTGGCAACCTAGATGTGCACTGACTCATGTTCAGCTGGCTGTTGACTAGGAAATCCTCACTGGTCCTTTTCTCTCAAAGGAAACAACCAGCTAACAGCAAGAAAAAGACTCCCTGGATCTCCAAATGGCAGAGAAATATAAAACCACTCCAAGCAGAATTAGGAAGTGTAGGTGAAGTTTTTATTTTGTTACCATGTCATTCATTTAGAGATTTTTGGGGGTAATTTGTAAGAACATCCCTTTTATCTCCATATAAACTGTGGAGATGTGTTTCCTATGTGTTCCTTCATGAAAGGAATTAACTGAGAAACACCAGAACAATCAAACCTGAAACTGTTTCACAGGACAACTCTGCTTCCCTGCCTCTATGGTCCACTGTACTAGACAGATTTAACATTCTTTACACTTTACCTGTGCCCCTGCATTTGAGGACTGAAATACCAAGTTTCAGACTTTTATCAGCTGTAGTGCAGTGAACAAAGAATTGACAGACCCCTGAGAGCACACTGAAAGACTTTGACTCTTGAAGTTATATTGACAAAATGCTGCTTTCCTGGCACTAACTACTTGATTGACTGATTGATTTAATCAACGTCCATCACCTTGGATGTGGCTATTCAATGTTTCTGATCTTTTATGTATTTATCTCTTAAGAAGAGATGTTTTTAAAATATGTATGATTTTAAATATTTTGCATGTCCTTTTCTTTCAGCAGCTAGCACAGCAAAGCAGAGACTCTCTCAAGTGCCCTCAGATACTGCTATCACCCCCCCAGACAGCAGGTGCTCCTGATCTGAAGCTACTAAGGGGAAGCAGGTGAGCTGAAGTATTTTGGAATGCCTGAAATGCTGAACACTCTACACGGCTGTTGAGGGCTCACCAGCAACAATGGTGTGGGTGGAGAGGGTGGGAACAGACTCAGCATAGCCAGATCCTGCCACACTGTGTAAGTGCTGCCCAGCTCAGTGGCCAAATACTGCTTGATATATGGGAAGCTTCAAGTGAGCCTGTCAGAACTCACACATTTTACACTTTTTTTGAACATTCCACTTACCATTTTTACTCCCCTTTCAAGCAGTTCATTTCTGAGACAGCAAAGACCAGTGTCATTAAGGCGACGTGGAATTCAGAGCAAGTATAAGCTATCATGAGTGACTTAAAAGAGTTTCAATCTTCTAAACTGCAATGCTTTTAAAATCAGTAATTTTAAATCGCTGCACTTGAGCTCTGCCCCTAGAGCTGATTTACGAGTATTTAGCTTTAGTCTACTTTAATCTGGGAAAAAGCATGTAGCAACAGCAGCAATCCTTCATTTTACAAACATACAGTTGCCTGTTCTTGGCCTCTCAAAGGAATCAAGTCAAAGGACCTTCATACCAGAACTGGCTGATTTAGATATTACAGCTGCAGATGGGCACAAAAATTGTGAAATAGCTTTATTTTTATCATTCTTTGGTGTTTTGCTGTCCTTCACTAAATTAAACAGGAATATTCAAGATATTAGGAAATGCATCACAAAAGATATTATGAATAACACAGAATGGTTTCAAAGTGCCTAAATTGGAAATTTACACTGTTTACTTAAGCTGTAAAAATAGATAGAGTTCACAGCAAAAAAATTAGGAAAGGGTTGTAATTTTCCTCAGCTATATGAGGAGATACTGTGCCACTATTCTTCTTCTACTTCAGAAGCAATTGCAGAATCACAAAAAATGTTTCAGACAGAAGAAAAGCAATTTTAGTTACTGGCATTTCTCTCACTGCAGAATTTCCCCCTTTGGCCTGACCAGACTTCTAAGATTACAACAGAATTTCTACCTATAGCCTTGGCCTAGCAACCCCCCTAATTTATAATTCTCACTGTTAAGCTAATATTAAGTTGCATGCATTTAACTCTTAAATAACATCTCCGAAACAACAGCTAAAAAAAAAATGAAAGTATAAATCTAGTATAATTATTTGGCTGTTACAACTACTCAAATTTTACTAATACAAAACTAAATAAAAATTGCACTTATTTTTATCATATCACAAAGCTGGCGGCTGTCAACTGTTTCAGAATAGAATCTGACAGAAACATGTTCCTTTGAGATGTCACGCATATGAAACAGAGTATCTGAAAGATATCTTTCTACTGAGGCTCAGGTGCTAGGTGTGGTGGGATTTTAGGATTTTTTTATGTTCTTTCAAGTAAAAAGATATTTCTTCAAGCTTTACTGTAAAACTTGGGGTGTTTTCAAAAGCTATCTAAATAAAAAAAAATTAAAATTAAAATATCTAAAACTAAGTGAGTTGTTCGATTAAGGGTTCCACACTAGACTCAACATCTACCAAACGTCCAGCCTCAAGCTGGCTGTTCCTAACCCCTCTCCCTTGCACTCCCTGCACTTTGGCAGAAAATCTTAAATTACCTTTTTTGTGTGTATGAAGGGGGTGGACAGAACATGAGAATAGTTCCTTAGATCAACAGATATTACTCAGGTATTTATTTCCATTTGGTTCCTCAGCCTAGAACAAACCCTTGCAAAGGTAAATGGCAGCTATCAAGAAAATGCATCTCTCTTCAGTCACCTGGCAGACGTCAGAGCGTATCCCTGTTTTCCAGAATCCCTGGCTGCTCAACTCCACAGTCACTTCACGTCTCATTGTGTTCTTCTGACGAATTTTCTGCAGTGCTTCCTAAGCAGGGAGAGAAGAGAGTTCCTGTGAAGAACTTGCTACAGCAAAGCACACCAATGCATACACCAGTGTGTTCACAATACCCATGAAAGGTTCAGTTTTGGTGACCAGTTCCTAGGGCTGGTACAGATCTGACAACTCCCAGCCACAGACTGGCAGATGTGCTGGAATACGGTGTAGACAGAGGATTTTGGTAAATCAAGGAGAAAACAGAGGTGACTACATTTTTTTTACTACAAATGACAAAACAAACCAGTCCAACTCAACAATGTATACATTGATACATACATAAGTAAGGAAGATAAAGCCCTTATAATGAAAGCACTTTCTTTACCAGATGTACAAAACAACCTTTTCATTCATGTCCATCACTGAGAGTACTCCTGGTTTGAACTTCAGGAGGAGCAAAACAGGCTTTGCTTTGTCATCTTGGCTACTTAGCAACAGTTCCTGTTCAGCTATGTCACTATGCCCAGTCTGGAAACAGGGTCAGCATTCAGCAGTCCTGGAGACTAATGCTGATTGAAATCTACCAATTTTATTTCAACAAAAATTTTTAAAAATATGTTATACCTTGGCCACTAGCTATTTGGTGGTGTGCAAACAATTTGTCTTAAGAAACCATGAAAGGGCCAGAATCATTAAGCAATTTTGACAGTATCATTAAAAGAAAATACTTCCTGTAAAATGAAATGAAAGAAAAACAGATGAAATGAAATCAGCCCTGGATTAGAATCTCTTGGTTCCAATACTATAATGCCCTGGGGTGTGCAAGCTCCCTATACAGCATGAAATAACCATAAAGACTCCCCTCAGTGCTCTGCCTTCTTCAGAACACAAAGCTCTTCAAAGCCGCAACTTATCCTGCCTCTCCTTCTCCTTTTCATTACAGGGCACTTGCTCAAAGCTGTCTCTTTCTAGCTCCCAGTTTGAAATCTGTGAGCAGATCTGGGCAGGATCAGGCTCTGTCTTCTGATTTGCAGAGACTCACAGGTATTTCCAACAGGTGCATCTGTCCAGACACAGATTCATCAAACCTCAGACACCTTAATAAAGAGGTGTCTAGGGTAGGACGCTGGTTAGCCCTGGCTCCTTTTATATTCAATGAAGGGGATAAATGGCTTCAAAAATGCATTTCTCCCTCCACTGACTTCAAAGTGAGCCTTCAGGTCCTAATTTATGCACCTGCTGTAAATGCTCAAAGTTAGGTTAGAGGAACAAAGCCCCAGGCACGACCTTGTCACAAATAGTATCATTGTACAACCTCACAGCGGTGGATGACTGATGGCAGTGGGAACAGAGATGCTGCCAGCACTGCACCCCTTGTGCATTGTCAAAGGTGTGTCATTGAGTTTTTTCCTGAGAAAGGTGCTACAGTGTTTGCCAGACCTGGCTGTATTTCAGTCTGACTGGCTCAGGAGCACACCATAATATTTGATTCATTATCTTTAAAAGCCCATGTACCACTCAGGTATAGTCCTGCAGCTCCTTCTGAGTTACTGTCACCTCCACTGGCAAATATATAGATTATCCTCACATAAAGATTCTGCTTTAGCCCTGTATGCCTCCCTCTTGGCAAACTACTTGTAAAACACATTATCCTATAATAGAGTCTAGAAACAAAAATCAGTAGTCCACAGCAAGTGCTAAATAACAACTTCTGCAGCAAAACATGATCACCCCCTTACAAACAATCTGCTACAATTTTACAAAAGAGCCATCCATTAACCCCTAATGAAAATATGCCCATAAAACAATGGTCTCCTACTTGCTCTGTGTGTAGCTGTGGCAAATAAAAACCATCTCCTGTAAGTACAAATATTTCTTAACCTTTACAACTGTGGCACAGTTCAGTCACAATGTTGTGGGGTTTTCTGTTTTCACTTACAAGTAAGGAAGCCAAGGGCTTATTTAATATCAGCATAAATAAATGTTTACTAACACTCTTACACAACAGCTTACTATGCTTTGTAGCAATGAAAAAAATCAGGTGCAATGTCATATATATCAAACACTAAGTGCAACCAAAAGTAATTCCAAAAGTGCAATTTCTGAGACTTCCTCAATAAATGGGGGAAGTCTCAGGAATCGCACTCCATGATTCTCATGGTCCTTCCCAAGTCAGGGTAGTCTATGATTTTATGAATAATTAGTGTTTCTAATCAATAAATAAAAATACAAAACCACTTAATTAAATACCATCCTGTACTCGAGAAGTTAATTACTCCCCTATGTAGTCCTTACATAGGTTGTCAAATTAAGAGTGCCCAATAGACAGGCACCAGACAAATTCAAAGCTTCAGTCCAAGTTTATAGAAATAGATGGGTTGGTTAATGCTATATTTAGGAGTCTTTGTTTTTCTACTTTTAATTCCTAATTGGCTGAGCATTTGCACTTAGGAAATGCTTATTGTTCATCACTTTGTGGGGAAAAAAACAAAAAGAGCAAAATATCTTGTCTATCATACAAAAACCGGATGATTTCAAGTCAAAGATCCTAAAGAATGTCACTATACCACCTAATAAATTACTTTTTATGCACACAAGCATGGCAGTTTATATCTCAAAAGAGAAATGTTTAAAATTATGAGCCAGTTAAAAGTACATTATGAAAGAAAAAGTCCTTCTCTATGCTAATTCTTGAAACCATTAATGGCAACAGCTATAAAGAAGTTATGGTTCCATAACAATAATTTCTATAATTGGGTAAAAAACTTACAGCAGTTTGACAGCTGAAAAAAGAAAAAAACCTCACTCAATAACAAGCATGGATAAAAATAAAATCCGTGTTAAGAGTCTGGAAAGAAAATATTTTCTAAAGGATTTCTGTTGTTTCCAGAAACAGGGCTATCATTCCATCTCAAATTATAATGCTCAATTATCAGTTATAGGCAGGTCCAGAATACCTCTCTTTGTGATAACTTCTGTTTATCAGCCTGTTTGACTTTGGGACTATTAGCCAGTAGGTGACGCAGCTTCACATAACTCTTCCACAGCTTTTGGTATCTGCAGGACAAAACCAGAAAATACATATTTTGGTCAATGAGCAGAAATCTCTGTTTGTCATTAGGAACACACCAGCTGCTAATAATGCACACAACATATACAAAGAATGTCTACAAGTACCTCTTTCACAGAAATAAAATAATTTCAAAGCATTTTCTGAGAGGTGACAGTGCCTGGGCAGCTGCTCCAGCAGGCTGGGCCAAGTAGCAGAGAGGAGGCATTAGTGTGCAGAGTGAGGTAAAGAACAGCAAAGATCAGGGCAGAGCCCAGGTCTGCCAGATAACCACCCATCCTCTCTAGAGGGCCACCTCTGCAGGCTGAAAAGTACTGCCAGCCCCTGAACTCAATTCTGGCAGGTGAAAACTCCTTCTCTACATGGTTTTCCTATCACTCACTGCAAAAGAGCAGCACCTTTCCCCAGGAAGGGTCTGTCCTTATTCCGGCCCAAACATTTCAGTGAAGCACATGAGGAAGAGTTCTACAAGTCACATGCAACTGTGAAAGGTGAAATCCAAGTTTTGTTCCCTATGGGCTTGTGCTGAAAGGAAAGAGCAATTCAAGTTATTTCTGTGATTGGCACATACTTAAGCTTTCTGGTTTTCTCCAACCATCTAGCCTTTTCTTATTTTGGTGGTGTCTAATTACACACGAACCCCAACGACATTTTCCTTGGTGGGAGTCCCTCAGTGATCTAGCACAAACTTTCATCACATCTATAAGAACTTAATCCATTTGAAGACAACATCCCACCATTATACTCAACTGCAGCTGACCAACAGCTTCAAAAGTTACAATGGGAGGAGCAACAAAGAATCGTGATAGGGACCTTGTGTCCTTAGGAAACAATGCTACCTTCAAAATGTAACCTCTGTATTCAGGACAGCCCAAAAATCAGACTATGAATAGGAAAAAGAAAACTAGAGGCCAGAGGAAAGAAGTTTACCCAAGTTAGATTTTTCTCATATTTACATTTTAAAAGAAGATCCTCCCCAGCATCAACTTAGGGCAGTGGTTTTATTAGGAAGTTTTCATGTTAGTGGCTTAGCAGTCAATAATGCAGCAGCTCTTCTACTACTTCATAACCTTCCTAGCATCCCACATTCGCAAACACATAAACAAATCTTTTCTTATTGGCATTTTTTCACTAGCTATTTCTCTGCAGCATTCTTGAGTGTATACTCTCTGCCTCTGGACATACTGGTATTTTTCAGTCTACAAACATCTGAAGTGGTCAATCCATAGATTTTTCTCATGCTTCATTCACTGCACTTTTGCGATCTGCAGAATAGCACATCTATTTCCAACAAATCACCACATGGAAAAGAAAAATGAGTTAATGAATAAATCAGCCAACACAGAAAGAACAAATGCCTTGAGGAAGTTTCAACCCAAAAACAAGAACCTGAAACTGTAATCTACAATACACATTTTTCCACCCTTTGATAAGGGTGAAACAAGCATTGTTATTGCAATTAAGTTTGAGACTTAATAAACATATTATTGTTACAAAAAATTCTGTATTAGAACATCACAAAGAAAAGACACATTAAAGGAAAATCTCTTCTGGGTGCACATACACAGAGTTAAGCCTGACATTTATGATGGCACCACAGAGGTCTTTCACAAAAAATGCTTTGTTACACTGATAAAACAAAACATACTTACATTCTGTAAGCAGCTCTGAGGTTAAAACCCAAAACAAAAAACAAATCACAAGTAAATTTTAAAGACAAAAAAAAAATAAAAATGTGTGGAAAGAATAATTTTTGTCTCTTTATACTATTTTAAATGAAAAGTACTAGAACTTTACAAATACTAATAAATTTGGCAGCAAAGTAGAGATAATCCTTATATTTTTGCATCTTATTATTTCTTTTTGATGGACAAGAAAACAAAAAGATAAAGAGGTATGTTTTAAAGATAAAACTAATGATCAAAGCCAAAAAAAAACTGGTTTATTATCTGGATTAGCACTCAATACTCCCACTTCCTGACATGTTGGATTTAAAATTCTCAGCAAGCAGTTGTAAAATCCAACTGTCATACATGCACATGAGTGTTTGGGCCTCAAAACTGCAGATCTGTTGAGCATTTTGCACATAAGTCATCCTCTCTTTCTACATTTTTGTTATTAGTATTGTTGCTGCTACTGTTTGTGTTTTTGTCTCATTGCTGCTTCCACTCTCAACCCGTGATCTCTGCCTTTTTGTGTCTTTCAGTGGAAGGGGAAGGAAGCGGCTTGTGGTTCTCTTATTAGTGGAAGTACTAAATTGGGGAATACTATTCCTAAATCACTGCATTGAGGAAAAACACAACCTTAACTACACAAGCACCAGAGACAGGCTTTTTACTGTCATCATGCATAAAGCAGATGTCCCAATCACTGGAAAAATTCCCTGAAATAGTCAGAGGTTAAGAAAAGAATTTGGAACAAAATCCAATCATCACTTTTGCATCCCTTCATCAATCCACAGTGAATGAGTATTTCTTGCTCTGCCTGAATCTTCCTGATTGCCTCTCCACTCCTTCTTCACATTCCTCCCAAGCTCTAACAGGATATAAAAAGCACAGAGAAGTAGCATGGGTGGAGTAGCCTCCAAGCTAGGAAGCACTATGTAGACATGATCCTTCAAAGCACAGAAAGAGATGATTAAGTAGGATATGGCAGTATGCAAGAAACAAGTATCACGAAGTAATCAAACAGAAAATGACTATATTATTCCTTATTAGATGTGAGACCTGAAGAACATCTAATTAAACAATCAAGCAGCAGCTCTGGAATAAAAACCATTACTTTTGCATATGATGTACAACAGTACTGGTTAAGTGATTACCTGAAATTTTCTCCCTGTCAGTGGTATAAAGATTCAAACAGTGATTTGAGAAATTTAAAAACATCCATTTAGGGCTGTTTAACAAAGTGACTTAAATACATCCTCTAGCTCAGAAGTCTATACGCTACAGACATTAGGAAGCTTGGGCAATTATTTCTCCTTCTCTGCCTTCCTGTTATGCTCCCACCACTGGCCACTCAGAGAAATAATGCAGAGCTTGAGGAACCACCTCTTGCTGGACCCAGAAGAACTGTTGTCAGATTAAGAAGTTTCATACCACACATGCAAGCATGTTTACTTCAGCAGATCCTGAATTATTCCAGAGAAAAAGTTATTCCTCCTATTTTCTAATTTGCAGAAGCTTGTGTCCAATGTCATAAGTGCTAAGCTTTACATTGGACTAAGCACATAACCACGCCCCTACTTAAGGCACAAATGACAACAGTAATGAGTTCTTGAACAAAGAAAGAAGGAAAAGCATCTTACTGAGGATCTCCGGCATAACTGAGCTGAGCAGGTCGTATCCCAAAGTGTACAATAATAGGGAAAGTAATTACATCAGGATTGAATTGTTCGCGGTCTAGTTGATCAATACGAACTGAGCTGGGTTTCTAGGAGAAAAAAAACAAAGTGCAACTAAATTGACAACAGCTCCATGGAAAATTTACTGCCTCATGCCCACACTATCCAGGAAACACAAAGCAACAACATTCCAAACTTAATAAGATGCACAATAAAGTAATCATTAATACTATTATAAACATTTGGCAACAACGATAACTGAAACAAAATTAACTGACCTAACACTCAAAGAAAATAAAAAAAAAGGCCTTTTAATTTTAAACATCTGGAAATTTACTTTGACTATTTCCAAGAACTTAAAACACCTTTCTCTGGTCAAGCATCACATCAGAAATAAAAATAAGGATTAGCATTCTGGCATCCCAGAATCCATGTGCCTGAGCAGCTTGCTAAGATCAGGTTGCCTCTCTAATTTTAGTTCATGATTTCCCAAAGCAAGTGAAGGCATTATTAGATCCATTCAATCACACTGACTAAACAGCATCAAAAAAAATCTGTCACGCTACTCTCAGCAAAGGCTCCTAGGCTGATGTGTACAAGGAGGAATACAGTCTTGTATAATGAGGAGACTTTTGCCCTTTTTACAGTTCAAAATAGAAGCTCTTTTTATTGTTAAAAAGGACAGTGCCAAAGAAGGCAACTTTGGTTTCAGCTCTATAAATGCAGAGAGTAAGTAATTGCACATCACTGTAGCAGACATGCTGCTCACAGAGCTTTTCATCACTTACCCAGCATATTTAAAAACTCAGCTGAAGGTGCACAGTTTGTCTCCAAGTAAACAACTTCTCCATTACCTGTCAAGCTGCTTTGTAACATGCCTGCTTACTCCCCACTTTGCAATCAGCTGGACGAGGCCAATATATTTTGCTTGTCTTAGGTTTCAGAAAAAGGGCATTATTTCTAGTTACTTGCATTTCAGAACTTCTCATTTAGCACTGTAAAGTTGCCCTTAAAGATGAGTTTCAGTGTTACATAAACAGCTCCCACCATTTTCTTCACAAAATAATAAAATCTGTGTCAAAGAACAAAGCATTTACCCTCCAAACCACCTTGGTAGAACTGTTCACAGGAATAATTTTCTGCATGGATAAGCAAGCCAATTCTATATATGGCCACAATTTCAATCTATTCTAGAAAAACAAAAACTTACTTAAAAGCTTGACTTTCAGAGACAGAAATATTTTCCAAGGGAAAAATTCTTATCAGCTTCCCTTTAGACAAGATGACTGAACATAAAGTTCCATCTCCCCAGCCAAAAAAAAAATAGTGGAAAAAATATTAAGGTTAATTAAGAGTTAACTTACTTAAATTATTAACTAATTAAAAAATTTGAATTTTAATTAAAGCTGCTGGTGTCACAGAAAAAAAAAAAAAAAAAGAAAAAAAAAGAGAGAGACAGAAAAGGTCTTCTCCACAGCACTTCTTATGAAAAAGGATTAGAACAAAAAAAGCCCTAAGAAAATAAAGGGCAAGATTTATAGCAGAGTGAATGTTGTTCTCTAAAGAAAAGCTTAAAGTCCTGATCTTTAAGGATGAAATAAAGTTTATTTTTTGAGGGATTGTTTTTTGTTTTTTGGGGGATTGCACAAAACCAGCTTGAGAAGTTATCTTCTTGTAAGTTGTTTGTTGGTTCTCCCCACTTTTAATATTAAATTGAGGAACTTCTCTCATCTCTGTATCCCTTAAAAAAGCAGCTTTGATACACCACTCCTTTGAGAACCATGTCAGCAAAATATAATTAACAGAATATTAAACAATAATTTTACTCAATATATCAATTTTTTTCAACACATTAAAAAAAAATACAGACACATTTTAGATACTGAAACAGAGGCAATGAGATACTCAAAAGCATCAAAAGGACATCCTACACTATGCATATAGCATGGTCTGTGTTAAATGTGTGACCTCAGGACTACTCAAAACCAGATTCCATTTCTTGGACACTGCCTTGCATTTTGTCACTCAGTTACACAAGTGTTCACAGATGGCTGATAGCAACCAGGACAAAACAACTTCTCCAAGACTTAATCACAGCTGCTCCCTCACTGACAGGGAGGGGTGAGGGGTGTAGCTGGGTTATGCTTTTTTATTTCACCGTGAACACCAGCCTCCCCTCCAGTGCCCTTTCCGAAGGTTAAATGAACAAACAGCAACATAAGAAACATCAAGTCTAAATTGCGCACCAGCAGACAGGATGCAAGCAAATTAGATGTTATTCTTCCAGAGCTTATCCCTGTGCTCTTTTAAAAAAGTGCTTTGATAGATTATCCAATGATCACGACCTTGCCTTTAAAGTCACATCAAAATCAGAGAAATTCTAACGGAACAGAGGCCTGTTATTTTTGTTTCCTACTTCAAATCTCATCAACCAAGGCTCTGCTAACATTAGAACATAACATGAAATAGCATGCAGATGTAGTACAGAAGTATGTTAATATCTATCTATCTATGTAGTAGTAGTGAGAAAACCATCAATATTTTAGGAAGTGTCAAGTATGAAAGATGACTAAAATTTGTGAACTTCTAACTCTATTCCAACACAAAGTTTCACTGAACTAATGAAACCCCAAGAATAAGTGAAAAAAATTTAAATAATGATGAACTATTGCTAGTTAAGTGGGATTTATATCCTATTCAAGTTTTTCACATATATTGCATATATAAACACCTTATACTGAAAAAAAGTAAAAAAACCACAGACATAAAACCTATATTTGATCACAAGAGGAATTATTACTTCTGAAGAGACACTGTGCAACAAAACAGATTTTAGTGGTTTTCCTTCATTGTATCAAGTGGATATAATTCAATTGAAGATATGTCATTTTCTAAAACAGCTTCATATTGTCTCTCCAACAGAACTGTTTTATCTTTTAATGTTGCAAAATGCATAGGCAATAGTTTCATACTCTGTTTTTCACTTACATTCATAATCACTACAATATGTTGCAGTGTACAGGAAAAATCCACAAACTAAGAAGAATGTCATTGCAATCTTGAGAGAAAAAACATGTTCTAATGATGCCATTTTAACATGACATTTCAAAGCGTTACAGATTTCTTTTATGCTTACATATTTTGATGTCCACACATCTCTAGAAACACTGTCTTGTAGAATGTAAAGTTAATGCCAGTAAAAAATCACACAAGATCTCAGAATTAACACTACAGCTCACAAACCCCACTGCTTTGTACATACAGACTTTTAGAGTTCCGTGACACAAGGAAGGAACATATATGCGTTCCCTCATGCAAAACAAAAAAGCGAGTTTTCAGCTAGCTGAAACCAACATATCTTTTGAAAAATAACTGAAGTTACGTGAGTGTATAGCATTCAGATGCTGACAACTTGTGGACCAGCATGTACCTTGTATCACAGAAACCACAGGCAAATTAAGGCTGTTCAGGTTTTTTAACAATTTCTGTTACAGGATTCTGGTCTAGCAGTCATTTAAAACAGCTGAGGTGGAATTTTCCATAGTGAGAGTTCACATGTATTTTTGTATTTCATGTTCCCAGAAACAGACTTTCTTGTTGTTTCAAAAGTTTTACTTCACTCAGAGTGAAATCAAGAGGAAAATTGTCTGTCCCAAGCTATTGTCAGCTTATTAAGTAGTTTACTAATATTATGCTGCCATACTTAAAAATATCAACTGGAAATATATATTTAGCATGTCACCCTGGCTGCAGTTTGGGGACAGGTTTTTCAGTAGAAAAACTAAATTCCTTCTTAGGCATAGCACTGTACCAAGTTACACTTTTTCTTCATAAACTAAGAATCTGAGCTATGAGCAAAAGAGGAAAATGAAGTCAGAAAAAGAAAGGTATTACTACTGAGAAAGCTGCATGTCAGTCTCAAATATTAGGTCCAAAATATGCCTCTAGTACTCAGATACTCCTGTGATACTGACCAAACTATACAAGTACAACCCTGCGGTTTTTAGTGGACATTCATCTATACTTGTGACCCACACTTCTTAAAAGGGAAAGGCCACATAATGGGCTGAAGTCACAACCACAGAGTTGAAAGGAGCAGTGTTCAGAGAACATATGCTTTAAAATACCAACTGTTTCAAAAATAATAAAGTCACAGGGGTTTCAAAGTAGACACTGAAAATTAATAAGTAGACATGCATTAATTAATGCACACGAAATTTCTCAGTGTGAGTGAGAGCAACACAGAAACAATGTGGAAAAAAACTACATAGGCAGAAAACACCTTTTCCATATTCAAGTCAGCGTCAAAACAGCACACATTAAATAGAACTATCAATAGGGGGTCAAAAGAGGAAGAGGAAAGTAAATAGCAAATAGTTACTAATTCTCTGGTTCTGTGTCTGGGAAAGAGAATGAGATCATGCACATAAAGACTGAGAAAACAGGAAAGTTTTACATACAAAAACTATAGCTGCTCCTTTTAACATGCACATTGAAACAGTGCCCATCTCAAAATACACCTTTCAGTACTGATAAGCAGCAACAGAGGGGACAATTCAGGGTTGGAACCAGTCAATAAACTGTTCCTACTGCAATCTGCAAGTGTCGCTGGTCACCTCTTCCTATTTTAATTTAGCCTGTAACAAGTTCTCTGAAAGAAGACATGTACGTGTCATTGGATTGTTAAAAAAAAAAATAAAAAAATTATTCATTTGTTCTACCATGCCAGGGCTGGTAACGATCATCCCTTTGCATTCTTCTGCATATTTCTGCCATTCCAGTTCTTCCCACTGAAGCATGTTGGCAATCTCCTCTTCAGGCACCAGAGCTTTACTGCATCGTAACAAGTAGAGAAGAATCTGATGCATTGAGAGTACTTCTTTCCCTCCATCTTAAAACCATAAATAAAAAAAACAACACATTTCAGAGATTCATTCCTAAAACATGAGCATAAGAGAAAATATGGAGAACACAAACCATATGTATGAGCAAAATAAAATGCAAAATGGTTAAGTCATTTGACAAATATGAAGGCAAATGTTTTACTGATGAATAGTGCACATGCATGAACACTGCTAAACTGAAACAGTAGCAGTAATAGTGGTGAGAGTAACAGTTCCATTGTACTGTAAATGTGAAGTTTCTAACTTGCCTGAATAAACTCTTAAATGAGTAAGCAGAATAACTAGTTATGTTGTCCAGTTATATCTTCCTTTTCACAATTTTATCATTCTTTTCACAATAGCAGTTGAAAAGCCTTTAGGTGTTATGTGGCTTTTTTTAAGAACACTCAAAATTTTACAGGATACTTCTGGATGAATGTAGTATGCTATCCCTGCACTTTAAACTCATCTGTAGTGCTTACATGCTGTAAATGCAGTAATGAAGACTAAGAGTCCCATGCTGTCTTCTGTCACTGAATGAATCCAGGGCATGTGAAAATTACTAAGTACCTCTGAGACCCCAGGAAAAAATGTACAGCAAAGGCCACTTATAACAAAAGAAGACACTGAATTCTGACTGGCTTCAGGTAGCCAGCTATAGATGAGGATATACAAACAGGAAAGGTGAGTGATGTCCTGATAGATCACCACTCACTGATCACCGACTATTCAAATTCAGTATGTCTGCTCATGTAAGTAAGTAAAAAGTCACTGCATGTTCCCACAATGCTGTGACATACATCTAAATCCCCCCTTTAATAACAGTGTTAATTTGCAGGTATGGAGGAATCGTCAAGAACACAAACGCTGATTTCCCTCTCTCAGGGAGCAGAAACAATCTGGTATCCACCCACTGAGTATGTTCTCTCTGTCACTACACCCACTAAAGAGAAATGGTGACGAACCAGAGGTAAAACATTCGAGCAATATGGGGGATGACACCACAGGCACAGTGGAAAAGCCTTGCAGAGCTGCTGCACAACAGCAGCACCGTGTAAAATGATGTCCTCTACAAGATATGTGAGGAACCAAGCCCTTCTCTTACTTCTGCTGGGATTACAGCACTACTGCACAGAAATGATGACAGGCAATGGTGTAACTTGGCCTTTCAGAACAACTAACTCACTCAGTCACCAAGATGGAATCTCAACTGGGGAAAATACACCCCAAACCTCACTGGAAACAGAAAATCTCACTGGAAACAGAAAATACTTCTAAATAGCTACAGGGACAGATTTTTAAATGTGCAAAGTTTTCATTTAAATTAAGGGGGGGACTCCACTTACAAGTCTGCTCTTTGTCAACAACTGGATTATACTCTTACACAAGAGGTAGCCCACATGCACCAATCACTAAAATGTAAGTGTATCCTTATCCACTGAAGGTTATGGACAGGTTGCTATAGACACCTGTGCTAAATGAAAGTCAGAGACCACTTCTAAATCAGAATATGCAGTACTTGGGACCCCAGATGTGTTTTTTCAAGCCTTCTCTGAATATATTTATCAACAAAAAAACCTATGAAAATGAGTACAATACAGCAACTGTTCTGCATGCCATGCATCTCAGTAAACCTAATATGACTAGCTCAGAGCTACCCCAAGGCCTGTCTCTAAGTAAATCCACATAGAAAACCTGACATCCCAAACTTCATTACTTTTAGACAATGTTAGGAAAGTAAGAAAGAAAAAGTAGAAGGGATGGGAAATCAGCAATTCATTCCTATCTTTAAAGAGACAGCTGATGGATGTGTGCAGATCTGATGCACCAACATCTTCTTTGATTACACATAAGAAGCGTTCTGCAAACATACCTGAAGGAAATAGATTTCCACTCTCTGTAAATTAAAAATCTTCAAGGATACATCAAAAAATAATCAATAAAAAATGAAAGCTTGATTAAAAAATAAACTGCCAAAAAGGTGCTAAAAGGTAACTATATATGCAGAAGTATCAGGAAAAAGACATTTTTAAAAAAGAGTTAGAAGGCTGGGGACCTTAAAGAAGAAGCAGCACACAGGAATACATATTATAGAGACTTATCTCTCCCTATCAGTAAACAACCCAACAGCACAGAAAGAGCTGATTTCTAAACTAAAATTAAAAATAAAAAAAAATCAGAATATAAAAACCCTGAACAAAAAAGCACCCTCAAGCTACACAAACTAGGCAGGACAGACTTGTTCTCATTTTCTGATGAGGTCAAGTTAATCAGCCACATGTGGCTTGATGGCTTATTTTGTAAATTGCTTCAGCAAAACCAAATCAATGTTTGCTAGCAAGCCTCAGAGCTCTGCTTCTGATTGAACAGTGCTGTGTATCCAGGAAGGAAAAACAATTAGAAATACAGTCATCTAGCCATCAGTACTCTCCACAGCAACAAGCCAAAACTCATTTTACTGCAGCTATAATTAATATCCCAACTAAGTTTCAAAGCCCAGACCAGAAAGCACCTCCAGGTCACAGTCCTCTTGATGAAGGTTGTTCAATGTTTCATCTGCACCCCAAATCTCACAGCTGAAACACATCCTTCTGTCCACACAACCCTCCTGGAGCAATCACTGGCAGGATCTCAGCAGGACACATTTTCAATGGAGCCATGACATTTACATCAACTGAAAGTCTGTCCTGGTGTCTTAGGATGTGCTAAATGCCTGTGTAAGCTGTTCACTCAAAATGAGCGCAATGCTCCACATGGAATCTCGTCCTTGGCTGGCAGGCCAGGGTTGAACTGCATTGGAATGATGGCTTTTGTCTTTCACAAGGTCTAAGCTTGTATGATGATAAAGAAACAATCAGGAAAATGTGCTCAGGGGCGCCAATCATGCTGACCCTTGCACATCAAGAATTGTGATCTAACCACATGGTACCCTGAAGAGTGGGGGGACCAGAAACGTGCGAGATTGGATAACAGCACTCCTCAAATGCCACAGCTCCATCACAGAGCACACCAAGGAGGACCCAACACTGCCTAAAATGACTACAGACACAAAAGCTGGAAGCAAGACTTGGCCTGCTCACCTGAATTCCAGTTCTGAGTAAACCATCTGTACTGCGAGCAAGCACTAAAGTCTTCAGGTGGAAGCACCAGATCTCTGTACAATCATTACCTGGGAGAAATCTCACAAACCGTGGCATGAAGTGGTATCTGGGACAGGAAATAGAATCATTTTCAAGTGAAGGACCTTAAATATGAAAAAAATACAGAAAATTTATGAACAGCAACATATTTGCAAAAGAAGAAAAGAGGCAACTTTGCTGCAGATGAAATCAATGAATGGTGATTACATTTGATAAGGCTTAAGTTTCAATCCAAAAAGTACCAAAAAAATGAACAGAGAGACAACTTGTAGTGAAAGCCTTCACACTGACAATTTAAAAGAAATCTAAATTAATTTAAAAATACTAAGAACCTAACAAAAACCACAGTATTTTAAAATAAAACAGTAATAGAAAAAGATTGCTTTATATAATCAATTAATTATTACACTTAAGCCTTACTGGTACATGCACTAGTTTATCTCCTCCAAATTAGTGGGGTGGTTTTTGTTCACCGTAACAAAGATTACATGGAAATTTCCACAGTACTGTTCTGTGGTTTTTTTTTTTAATTTTCCTATTCATCATACAAAGCTTTTCAAGAAAATAAAAAATGAACCTGTAAGTACCTGGTGTTTAAAAAAGAAAGAACAATCAGAAGCAATGACAGGAGAGACAACACCGATATTAGAATATATTTACCATCAAACCAAAGGCTACACAAAATGTATTAAACCTGTGTGCTCCTCTGCTTAACTGCATTAAGTGCAGAGTGCAACTCCATAGACAAAGTCAAGACACCCTACAGCTTCTGAAATACGATTCCTCTGATACTCTCATTTCTCTTTCAGACCACAGGAAGCATTCTACTTTGTTGCAGTCTTCACAGAAACAAGTATTTTCATCTTGTCAAAAGACAGAAACATTCTGCTATAATGATAACATTAACTCTCCACAGCTCTCTGTATGACACTGCTTTGTGAATTGACTGCAGAGAAATACTGTATGAGCAACTTGTTGTTAGACTGTAAAAAGAGAGAATAGTTTACCTGACACCTTGGCTTTTGAAATACCATGCACATGATACTATGTAGTATTAAACACACAGTAATATTTACTGATTGATTAAAAATAACAGTTCAGGATTTAGGCAGAAATTTAGTTTATTATATAGCTGAATTTTCTCCCTCTCATGGAAAACAGCAGTTACACTGCTATTTTGAGGACCCTCTCAAAGAGAACGTTACCTTTAAGATTCCAGTCGTACAGCTCCAAAATATCTTTGAATAGATATGAAGAGAACAGTTCAAGGCCTCTCACACAAAAATTCTGGGGAAACAAAAAAAACAGACCAAAATTATAAATATACAAAACTACAATACAAATAATGCCATTCATAATGTGTTAAATAAAACACAATAAAAAAAACAGTGTCTTTGCATCTGCCAACCACTAGATCCTGGTTTCTAGAAACAGTATTGATATATTTGTGATCATCTACTCTAACATAGCACAGTGGTCTCTTCAGAAAGCATTGTCAAGAAAGAATGGTATTGAATCCTCTTCACTCAATGTCCGAATCAACAGTAGAGGCAAAAATTATGAATCTTCAATAATCTGCCAAGCACTAAAACCCCTTCCACCCAAGCAAGCTAAGAAGATTACCCATTTCTGAGAAGTATCTTTTCATAGTTCACCTTTTCCCACATAATAATTTCCCATAATAAATGTTTATAAATCACCATCTGTGGTATCACTGTCACCTCCATAGCAAGTATGACTACAACACAAATTGAGGATTATGACCTAAATAGCCAACAGAAGAAGAAAAGAGATGAATTGGAAAAATTTTTTTTTTAAAAAAAAAAAAGACTTTTTTTTCATCAGGTGAGGAAGTGGCTCCTTCAGCAAACGAACAGAGAAACCTTCCTGAACAAATAAAATCAGGCCACATTCATATAAATTGTGTACATATGATATCAGCCATAAATTCCAAGCTCAACACCACAATCTCTTTCAAAAATCATTAGTAAAGATGGTCTGCAAATAATGCTGTAGCCATTTACCCAAAAGCCCCCCCCCAAATGGTGATTTCCCTGTTTTGCTTGGTGGCCATTTGTTGTCTCAGGTCAAGACTTGCAGACAACATAGTACATTCACTAACAAGAAATTAATTGCTTTGATCACATTATTCTTTCTGAGGCATTTCAGGGCTGTTGCATATATTTAGATGCTGCTGAGCAACAAAAAAAAGAGATAACTAGAAAGAAAAATGTAAATATATATGACTAAATTAAATACTGATCCTATCTTCATGCTTAATATGCAGGGGTGTTTCTGTATCTATACACAATGTTCCACTGCAGCGATTTACTTCACAAACTGGCTCCACCAGGCATTAATTAGTAATAAAAAACTCCAGTACAAACAGATTATGAACTCAATGTGCTTTGTTTGTATCCACAGGAAATTTGTTTTGGCAACAGCTTATATTGAGAACTGATAAACAATCTTCAGAGCTTCAAACTTCTGATTAAGTTTCAGCTCTGCCATTGACTTACATGGTCCTGGCAAAGGAGTAACTCCATATGCCTTTTTTTTGTCGGATGTGAGAGAAGGGTAATGCCTAATTTAATTTACAGATACTGCATATAACTTAAAATGAAAGGAACCTATGGATAAACGCACTTCTTACTGTTTGATTTTAATATATGATAGCCAAGGTAGATGGATTTATGCTAGTGCAAGTTTTGTTTCAGCCACTCATTCAGAATACAGCCAGCCTCTTAAGAGACTTCTCAAGATGGAAAATACTGAAGAGTTTAATCCATTAAACATGCCAACAGCTCTCAACCCACGCTGACTTTTAGACTAGTTATCCATCTTACTTACCTCAGGCATCATCTCCTCAATGAAATGAATTGTATAGTCAATGTTAAACCTGATTACTTTGCATAGAGGAATCTGGAAGGAAAAGAGAAATTCATCATTAAAAACTATACAGCATTAAATGTAGAGTTAATACAATTTTGTATGCAAAGGTATTACTGTCTACTGAAAAGGGCACTTACAAAAACAGCTGCTCTGGGGGATCATGCAAAGACAAGAACACAAGCACGTGTAAAGGGAGTACCAGTTCCAGCCTTCACCTCAGTAATAAAACAGTGCTGACAGGAGGGATGCTGAAGGAAGGCTAAATAATGCCATCTACTGGAGATTAAATTTTCTTTAGGAGAAAAAGTACACCTGTAAACTTCAGTCAACCTTTATCTTCTCTCACTCGGATATTTGCAAGTGAATTTGTTGTCTGTGACACAACACATCAGACCGACAGAGTGATCTGAAAGCAAGGTGTTTGCAGCACACTGCCACTTGTGTCAGCTGTACTGTCTTAAAATGCAGTTTTAAGTCAAAGCTACATTATGTTATAGCTTAAGGATAAATTGCAGTTTTATACTAATTTCATACAATAAATATTCTCAATTTCATCCAACTTGCAAGCCAGACAAACATTTAATTCTTTTTTTTCAACTTTTTACAGTCCATAATTTGCTGAAGGTGTTCAATTTTTTATGGGATTTTCAGAGAAAAACAGCTAAATTCCTAAAAGACAACAAAAATGCCTAATTTTCCCTTACACTCTTTCCCTACAGCTCTTACCAGATTTTACTTCTCACTGGCCTCAAAAGTATGAAAGAATGTTAGAACAATTCCATGTTCTGTGAATGTGAAGGAACCCAAGGTTATTTTACATTTATAAGCACACAAATAAATATCTGAACAGCATAGGGGTTGCAATAAAGTCAGTGTACATAGCAGAGATGCAGTATTCTGATTACATCTTCTTACAGCCCACTGTCAAACATTTGACTATTTTGACTACAAAAATCTATTGATATCTGCATGATATCAATATCATGATATTGATCAATCAAGATTATTCATCATATGATAAATTAAGAAGCTGCATCAAATGACCAAACAAAACTGCATTTCTTACAATTTGATACAGTATTAAATATGAATACAAAACCCTCTCAAAACCTTGGAAGCTAAATATACCATTTAAAATCTGAGCAGATGAAAACCTGTCACACTTAAATCAGTGAGGCTTGATAAAAAGCACAGGGATTGTTTACTTACTTTCTAAAACATAATTTAAACTAGAAGTTGAACACTTTAGAGAAGTGACCATAACTAAGATCTCCATAAACTGGAGTTCCATGTACACAAGCAAACACACATTAAAAGAACACACTGTTGGTACTGTACAATGGGTTTGGTATTTATAATATGACAATATTTTTTGATATGACTGTAGTAACCATTTTCCCTAATACTTGAGCTGCTCAGTTATTACTGAGAGGAATGATGGACATTACTCAGTAATAACAGCAGTAACTCAGTAACAACTCTTAACTGTGCGAACTTAAAAGACTGTACGACAGAAACTTGATTAATGCAAAGATGTTGGTGTTCAGATCTCTATTTTTACTACCTTTTGCTACTTCAGTTTCATCAAATATGTTCCAAAGTGTCCCTCAAAGAGTAGGTTTTATGTTGTGTGCCAAAAATCATCTCATGACATCAAGAGATTCCTTCCAAAGGGCTTTGTATCTGTTAGTAAAAGGAATTAGCACCACAGTGTGGCTTTGAATTCAACTGTAAAAAAGAATTATTTGTAGCTGATCACTTCCTCTGTTTGGAAGTGCATGTAAACATGCACTTTACAGTAAGCTTAACTGCTTCATTAACTACTCATATCAAAGAAGAGTTTTCCTTGTTGTCTGTATATTGAAGATTTCCATAACTCTCTGACTTCCTGTCACACAGTAGACATAAAAACTGTAAAGATAAGGACGTCTCTCTATTATTTAATGTGAGTAAAACTAAACTGTTCTTTTTCGCTCATTCGCAAAGTGAAAACATAAAGCCTTGAGATAAATTTGCCTTGAAGTCCGAGGATGAGTTAATGCTACTGGGCAGCAGTGCTTCCCATTGCCATGCCAGAGGCTGAACTCCACTCTCTCACTGAATTGTCAATGAGTCACTTCGCCTGACCACCGAAAGTGAAATGTTATCATATCCATTATGTAAGGAAACCGTTGGGGTCAAAGCAACTTCTTCTCAGTGCCTCTCACTTCCAGTATCCTTACATCCCAGTTGTTTACTGATACATCCCAGTCCTGTGCTCATAACCATTCTTACACTGAGTTGTGGCATTGGTGATGTAGCTAGTAATAGTTATAAAAACCACAGAAACTAACACATATTGAATATTTTGAGAAAATCTTGAAATAACCAAAATAACAAAAAAATCTTCAAGCGTCCATAAATAAATAATTTTCCTATTTTCCATTCACATTCAGCTAAGTCAGCTTATATTGGAAAAGCAAGGCAGCCAGGTACCAATCATGTCCTTTTCTTGTTACAATTGCTTTAAAACACCAAGTTAAACACCTGTACATACCTACAGCTTTTACTGAAAATCATAACTTGTTAGATCCTGAAGAAGCTGAACAGCTTTTACAATGTATTGGATACATCAAAGGTAAGTTTTAAGAAGAGAGAAAACCCTTTAGAGTGGATCTCTGAAAAACTTCATTCATCACTTGAAGAGAAAACCTTTTCTTGTTGTTATTGCTAGTTTTTTTAAACTTTGTCAACTTAATAAACCCAATCACTAAATTTAAATCCAATTAACAGTCTTAACAAATTTTTCCATGGTTTAATTCACTTCCAAACTGCGAAACACATAAAAACATTACTTCGATGCACATCACAGCTTCAGTCACAGCTCAAAGATGCTGCTTACTACAATCAGCCAAGACAACACCTGAGATTCATTAGCACAAATATCTTCCCCCTGTCCCCAGTGCTGGTAAGATGTTTGTAGCATACTTATAATGTTATTTTAGAGAAGTTTTGCTTCAGGGCAGAATGAGCATCTTCTAAAGAAATCCCCTGTTTGAAAGCTGAACTATGTAGCAATGATCATACTTACGTTTGTTAGTGGGGCATGTGCAAACATGGAGAACCCTTCAAAGATATATTCATGGTCATCATACTCAATAACAGTAGGTCTGTCTGTCTTAAAAAAGCAAACAAAATCACCATGGCGTAAGCAAGAAGCAATGGGACTTTTGTCACCGAAAACAAAATCAGAGTCCTAGTTTGAATTATTTATAAAGTACTTACTAAGAAATTTGTGGGAGGTGACACAGTAATTCGGTAGTGGTATAGTCTTCCAGCATTGTTGGTCATGGGGCGACATGGTTTAATGGGCTTAAAGAAAGAGATAAGTAGAATTATGTGTAGAGTCAAGGCAAATTTAGATTAAAAGAGAGAATAAAGCATTTCTAATAGCCATGAAATATGCATTAGGAAAAATTAAATAAAAGCAGGTAGTTTAATTAAGCATTCTGGGAAGGAGGAATGTTTGGACTTATCTCCATTTTCACTTTAAGAAATATTTCCAACGCTATTCAAAAGCAAGAAAAGGTGAATTTTTTTTTTTTCATTTTCCATTTAACTCTCCATCTCTCTTACACACAACAGCTAGCTGTTTACATTCCAGACAGATTTCCTCTCCTATATAAATTTGTTTCAGGAAACACATTCTAAAAGCTTATGAAGAGAAACCTGGACATCACATGAGAAGACCTCAAGGTACATTATCAAGATAGACAGGTATCAGCTCATCTGCCTGGGGGTATCTGAGGCTTGAAGAGAAGGGATTAGTCCATTGCCACAGAGGTAGCTCAGGTAATCCCACTCCTATCACCGTGGTTGCAATGCTTGACTTGCTTGGACTTTGAGGTCCAAGGGCAGCCAGATACCTGAGATTTCGTTTCCTCCCAGCTTGCTCTGAAGCAATTCTGTGTAAAGACTTCAACTCCTCAACAGTCAGACAAAACCAGTTTTTCATATGCCCTACATACAACTTGCTGCAGTTCAGAGGCTGCCACCAGCCTGTTTGGAATGTACTGGGAAAAAGAATAAAACTACTGCAGCGAGCAGGGTTACTATTCTGAACTGGGGAACTAAAGCTGGCTTGTGGCAACAGCAAGACAGCTACACCACTATGATGCTCTGGCCACTTTGCAAAACTCATGCAGGAAGTAAGGTGATTTCACTGGCTCTTCAGCCCCAAAATAAGCTTCTCACAGCTGCAACAAGGCAGCTGCAAACAAGCTAGTTGAAAACTAGGCAGTTTCACTTACAGGACAATGTGAAAAGTATTATATCCAAGGAGATTCTGTGAAACCTGGGATTCCCAGATGGCATTGCTCGAGGAGCAGCTGCCTTCATGCAGCAAGTTTTATATATATAGTAGTTTTCCCCTCCTAAATATTCTCCCTTTTCTGCAAGAAGAACTCTAGATGTAACATGGGGAGGAATAGATCCTGAACTGGAGAAATTTATAGTAAGATTCAGACCAAAGCCAATTTTCTGAACTCAAATAATTCACAGAAACGTTCATAACTCCTAAACTGCAGAGAAATAAACAATTGTTTCAGTAAACATATTTAAGAAGGCAAACTGAAAAATAAAATTTTTCAAGAAAAAGTATGAAGATAAATTGCAAAGCCCGCATGCTAAAGCAAGAACGCCTCCTGACAAGCCTTTTGCTTCTTTCAGCAGCAGAATTACTATTTACTTTTTTTTAAAGCAATCACTTCACAATATGGGCCCTTCACAACATATTCATCCACTTGAAGACAGCAGATTTTTTGATCGTATGTTCTCTTCTATTAGCACAATCATGCTTCAGAAACTTAAAAAAAAACCCCAAACCTAAAACTAAGCAGACACATACAAAAGTTTTCTACAGTTTTCAGATGGATTTCACTACCAGTATTGCATTTTAAATATGAGGTTACATAACTAAGTGATTTAAAGTTGCACAAGAGTTTTGTTTTTTTTACTCAGCCTGTAAATCAGGGGAAAACCTCCTCAAATGAACCCAAGCAGGAATTTACAGCTGCAAATTTATATTCATAATTGCAATCCTTAGAATTAGTAATACCTCTTCACCAGGATAAATGCCATGTCTTATTCCTGTTCGCCGGGCTTTCGCACTGCACTTGCACAAAGGTCCATCATTCATCTGTCAAAAACAAAATAGGATTCTGGTTTTATTGAAAAGTGGTTTTGGAAAATTATGTTGGTTTTAATGCCCTGAGTGCTGATGCTTCTAAAAGCCTGTCAAGTTTAGATAAAGTGGATGTTCTTAAGCCAATAAAACTGAAAACACTGTAGACTAATGTAAGAAAAATGCACAGCAGCATTAGAACTTCATTGCTGTTTCAGAAGCACAAGACGGAAAAACATTCTCAGCAGAATTCTACCACCCTGGGATAATACCCCTCTTTTTCACTGCTTATACACACAAGCAGCATGCTGACTGCCTAAAACAAAATTCAGATCCTAAACATATGTCAATATTTACATGCTGAAATCTCCACATTCTAACAGTTCCACTGAGTTCTTTTACTGAAAACCCATCCTCAACTAGACCCTCTGCCATGGAACGAGGCTATCCCCTGAAATGCAGACCACTCCAAGATTTTACCTGGTACTTTAAAGAACTGATGGGAACACATCAAATCTATCCTGTGAACAGATCAGTAAAAAAGATAATGAGGGAAAAAATACCCACTTGAGTATTCTGTATGGGTGTATCAAGTGCCCATACCAAAAAGGGCCAGTGCATACATCATAAACCTGGTGCCTTTCTTTTCACTTTTATTACCAAGATCAATGCAGACTATCAACTAATGCAACAGCCTTAAGCTTTCTGCTTAGCATTATGATCACTGCAGAAATCCAACATAAGAAGCCCAGAAACAAACCAGAGAAACAAATTAAGTTCCCAACCCAGATTTTTATCAAACTGGGATCCAAGAAGTTAAACTTCTTTTAGACTTAGGAAAAAAAAGCCAAACTAATGAACAATAAACTTGCAATGCAATAGAAAAGCCAGCAGAACTTTCTGTGCTATTACGAGCAGCCTGAAAATATAGACTGCATCCACAGTGGGGCTAAATGGCACCATCACATGTTAGATATAATGTGAAGATACCACAGGAAAAAAGAACCACTAAACCACTGTTAATGTGTTAGCTTCAGGCAGCTGGGATAGGGATGCAACTGTTTAGTTTTGATGTTAACTGTAGCTTCTTCAGACTGGCACAATGCGTATGTGCAAAGGAACATAAGAAGCAGCGCACTTCCCGACTCCTTTAGAAACTTAGTCACACAATCTTAACAATGGACACCTTGATGTTCACAGTTTTTCCCTTACTCTAAGAACCTCAAGGAAAGAATATGTTCAAAGAAATAGAGTAGGTAGAAGCATACTTTTTCTTTGGCTTATACAGTGACAAGACAAAAGAGTTAAAAAAGCAGTCAACAGCTAACTGCTCATCAGTGCTCCAAAACTAAGTGTCTACTGAGGCCACTTAAATAATCATCACATATTTTTGAAAATCTCATCCTTAATTCTTAGAACTGTTCAGCATGAATACTACCCCTGTTATATTAAATGCTCAGGCCAAAACTGAGAGAGATGTGAAGTACCTGTAAAGCCCAAGACTTGAGAAGCAACCAGATACGTATGGATCTTGTCCCTAACAACAATGCTCACAGAAAAAAAATGGAGGACAGCAATCATGAATTGATGGTAAAATCATGGTGAGAGATCACAAATTTACAAAGGCAATGCCTTCTCTGACCAACAGACCAACATAAACAAGCAGACCACATTTGTAAGGCAAAAGCCACAGTGGTGGCATTGAATTTAACAATTTATTTTCTGGCAGCTGTCAGCTCTGCTGGAGACTATCCAAATTAACAAACAAGCTTCTCACATGGAAGGCTTGGGAAGATCCATCCCACAAATCTAGTTCCATGTGTCAGACGGTGTACTTGTACATGTCAGAGTACATGGCAATCATTCCTGTTGTATTTATTGACAAAAAGCACTTTGACAGACCAGATAAATACCTATGAAAACTTCAAATGTTTCCCACTAAAATCTACACACAGGCTCACCATGATTGATTTCAGCCATTTCAAGAAAGATGAAGAGTCGGTCTCAAGGAAGTTTTTGGTAAAGAACGTTTTGCAGCAGAAGACTCATGTGCCAAACATTCCTGAATCTACTCCTTCTACAGTTATTCTGCTTTTTTTTCCTGTTAATATTCTTTATAGAACATTACTTTGAAGTGTGCCCAAGAGCTACACAATTTTTTCTGTTAAATATCTAAACAGCTTGCTAATTTTGTTTGCCATACAAACAGAAACAGCTAGCTATGCTCAATCATTATTTTTAACTAGAAGCATAAATATGAATCCATAATAGAATATTCAACAGACTTTTGAATTACCACAGTGGCAATATGTATTCCAGTATCTCCTCACATTTTGATTTGTTGCATGCTAAACTCGTACATCACACAAAGTGACAGAAAAATAGATTTACTGGGGTGCCAGTTGAAATGAGAGAATAGATTGTAAAATATTTAAGTAAGATGAAGATGGTGAATTTGCAAACAAAAACTAGTCTTCTGTGCAATGTGTACATTCAAAACAACACTTCATGAGCTCAGCAATTACATTTAATGAGAACTACAATTTCCATGCAATTACAAAAGAACCATTAGACAAGAAATTAGAAGCATTAACTGCATATTTAAAACATTATTTACCATTATGAGCTGAGAGCTTAAGGTGAAAAATTTGTAAAGGATGCAAACATATTGCCTTTTCTTCACCACAGAATTCAGTTGTGTACCTTTATCTCAGGGCTAAAAGGACAGCATTAGCACATTGTTAGCATTCAGTTTTTATTAACCCTGTCAGACATGATTCCAACTGAACAATCCCCAGGATTAATTAGCTGGAACTACGCTCTTGAAATCAAAAGTGAAGTGCTTTGAAGAAGGTGAGAGCAAAAAGTGAAAACAGGGGTAAAGAAAGCATTTTGAATTAGAAGTCACTCTGCAAGTTTGAAAACAAGGCAAAATTTTCAATTTTGAATGAACACCCAGTACTTTTTCCTCACACCCTACCTGTCCTGGATCATTGTACCACAATTCTTCATGGAGACGATCAGGGTGTGCTTTTTTTCGCTTAATTTCTGCAATGACGTCAATAACATCCGAATCTGAACTGCTGGAGCAGCTGCTGTCATCTTCAGAGTCACACTCTGACTCACTGGAGCTCTCTGATTCACCCAGAAAAAAATAAAGATGGCTGAAAAATACTTCCACACGCTCTCTTCTCCATAGCAATGCGTTCTCTATCATTAATGTCTGGACTTAATATTAAAAGAAAAAAAACACACACAAAACCCTTGATCTCAGTATCTCTAATCTCCTGAGGTGACTCCCTTTTTCATGCATGGAATTTTAGTCACTCATTTCCACAGATATCCTCAGCTCCAATTTAAATAAATGTCCTCATAGCCAAGACATATACAAGTACACAAGTAAAGTTTATTTTATTCTTGGAATAAAATGCAGTGTTTCTTCCATTTTTAAAGTTTTGACTTATGAGAAAATATATTACTATACTGCCAGTGTTTTCAAATACTGTGAAGCTATGGCTTTAAAGTACACATTTTTACTGAATACAAGACTCTACCTGGCTGAAAGAAAAGGACAGAAAATGAGAGATCATCACTAGGAAAATGTTTATCTTCTTTTTTTTAATCAAGATGTATTTTTACACAGTTCATCATTTGGCATAAGACATTATTAAAATATGTCCTTGGAACACATGGTTTACCTAGGTCATCTAAGCTAAGGTCAGCTGAAATAGCTTCTTCACAAAATGTGCACATGTATGCCTAAAAATATTCACAAAGATTCAAAAGTCCTCTCATACACATCTAGTAAGTCTATTTTCAGGTGCAAAACATGCACAGAACCTGTGAGAGTAAGCCGGAGTTTCAAAAGACTAACAGAACTTTTTGATGTAACGTATTGAAATAATGGAATCATAAAATGGTTTGGGTTGGGAGGAGCCTTAAAGACTATCTAAATCCCTTTGCCATGGAGAGGTCCCACTAAACCAGGTTGCTAAATGTCCCATCCAGCCCGGCTTTGAACATTGCTAGGGATAGGACATCCATAACTTCTCTGGGCAACCTGTTGCAGTGCCTCACCACCCTCACAGTAAAGAATTTCTTCCATCATCAGACTTTAACGATATAAAAGTGCTTCTGGAGCACACTGCTATCCCACTGCAACACGTGATTGCTGCTAACACAGGCCAGAACAGAGACAGCATTTACTGAAGTACAAAATAAGATGGACTACTGGACACTACATGGCTGTAGGAGAAGCTGGCACAGACACCAAGCTAGCCCAGGGGAACAGTGAAGACATAGAGTCTTTGAGTTCTCCAGGAAGAGTGGAAAAAGAAAATGCAGAAGTTGCCCTTGGCCCTATTACATTTTATCCTGCAGCAGCAGGCTTTCTTCCTCAGAGATCTAAGGAATGAGAGCTTTACACAGGTATGCTGAGTGTAGCAGTTGTGTCCCTGATTCATCCACGTGAAAAAACACCTCCAAAAAAACCCAACAGTTAACTTTGGTAGTGATTCTTCAAGGAGTTTAAATATATGCAAATTCACTGTTCAAAAAAATATGAAGAACTCCTTTAAAAAAGTGAGTTCACATTTTATTTAATCTGTATTTATTTTTCTTTCCTCTTCATTGCATCCTTTTATACTATCAGCACGTAACCATGTAATTATGCCTGTATTACAGCTTTAGAATTTTTGATATGCAATTTTTTAATGAGTTACTAAGATGAGACCTGAGGGTTTGAAGCAGCCCAGCTGGCCAACAGTAGTTAAAAAGCAAGCCAGAGTATCAAAATTACTGTGATATGCCTACCAATTACTTGAACTCAAGCAACTGACAAAAAACACACTATGAAACACTGAAATGCTGGAAGTATGAAAAAAACAACAGTTTTCACATAATAAACCAAGAAAAATGCCTTTCACTGACTTCTGAGTAGACAAGACGCTATAAAAACCTCTGCCCTGCTAATTCAATCAGTATTTCCCCAGTACTCGATGCTGCTGGATGTATTTCACTGTCAGAAGATCCAAATGGGTGTGACAAGATAACACAGATAATGCATGTCATGAAAACTGATACTTTTGCAGACCTCTGCTCATACTAAGCAGAACTGCACAACAAAAATACAGTCCTGAAGAAAAACTCATATGTTTGCTTCTACAGCACTGAGTCTATCACCACTACTCTTGCTTGCTCTTTAGGAATGTAAGACCAGGAGCTCCTCAAAGCCTCTCATGTGCCATTCTCCGGACTGTCTGATCATGCTCAGGGTGTTTTATGCCATGGAAGAAACTAGCATTTGGTAGTGCTGGATACTCTCCATTTCCCCCTAGGCTTTCTGGGTAAGAATCTAGCTCTGCTTCCATCAAAAGCTACAGTAAAAGTCCCATGGATATGAAATACAAAGGGGGGATTTAAAAAACACCTACCAACATTACTAAATACACACAACTGCCAAAACAGGTTAACTACAGATTATTCCATTTCAGAGCTTTGTCATCATTTCAGCCTACCTAAATCTTCATCCAGCTTGGTTTTTGGTGGCTCCCATGGTGGCCTGGCTGCTTTGGCCTTTGCCTGTCGCTTTCCTAACTCCTCATCAAACTTTTCATACAGATCCCGGAGCTTGCTTGTTCCTACCACAGTAGAGTCCCCCTGTTAATAAAAAAAACAGGACAAAAGAACAAAAAAAGGACAGTGTTAAAATCATACAAGAACTCAACATCTACCAGCATTTCATGAAAAAAAACAAAAAGGTGAGAAAGATGGATCATTCAGTGAAACATGGGAATACCTAATAAGGCTTTAGCATATCATTACATTGCTTCACCAGGTGAACTAGCAGAGGAATTATTTCATTTGCTGGTACAGCACTTCTCCAAGTATGCAGAAACATACAGTGCTTGAGGCATCTTTGCTCACAAGTTAAACACAGTGTGTAACAGAGGCAAAATAGGACTTCCCTTTCTGGAGACAAAAAAAAGTACCCCTCTTTCATGTACCACTTATCTGAATGCTAACAGACAGAGGGAAGCGATGAAAACAGAGAAGAATAGCAACAAATGTAACCCCTAATAGGGTAAAAGACTGAGATGATTAGGAACAGAGAAGAATTAAATGACACAAAATGCTGATCCTGCTGAAGGTTTCATATTATAAAGGACAGTTTGCAGTCATTTTAGAGTTCTCCGACATACCACTTGATCCATAGGGTCATTGGAATAATAGCTTTCAGAATGGGTACAGCGAACCCATACTGGCTTAAGTAATTCCTCATCTTCCTCTTCATTTTTTTCAGATGCATTCTCTTCTGATTCTTTGTCTTTGACAGCAGTATAATTCTTCTCTTTACTGGAGCTCTGGTTCTCAGACCACCTTTCTCTGTCCTCCTCCCACCGGGTTCTCTTTCTCTCTCTGCTTGGAGACCGGCTTAGTGGGAGAAAGCAAACAAAAGCAATACTCTTTATTATTTTAAAATGAAAAGCAGCTTACTTCAGATCAGTAAGTCATTCTATCATATAAATTTCAGCAAAATCCAGTTCCCTTTCCAGCTTTTAACTTGCACAATGAAGAGTACAAGAGTAATTTGTACTTTTGAATTACTATAAAAATTACTTAAAATTCTATGTGCTTTTTATTTTAAGTCATACTCAAGAATTAAAATTAAAAAAATACATGCCCTTTTAAATTAAAATTTTTACTTGCGTTCTAGGTGAATTTCTTTTAATTTTATATTTAGCAACTCATTGGTAAAAACTAAGTCACATCAGTCACGACCAGAAGTTACAGTAAGAAGTTTCAAAGCGCAGCCCACAAACTACTGGTATGACAAAAGAATTTGAGTTTTATTAAAAGGATTATACAGAATCCACATTTCTGTTACTCTAACACACCTCTGAACAACACAAGGTTGATATTACATGATTAATTATGTGATTTTGAATGCATTACTCTTGTGCATCACAAGAGTAAAGCATTCAAAAGAGGAGTAAGAAAACTACCTACTTTTTTTTAATCTCCTCTGCCTACAAAACCAACAATGTTGCAATGTTTTCAACTATCCAGCATTCAGAAAGGAACAGCAATAGAAGAAAAGCCTCTAAAAGATAATCTAAAGATAGAGCGACTTTAAATAATTTTGGCACTTTACATACTAGAAGATTTAAGAGAAAGACTTTAGGATACAGCAATGAAACTCTCTTTCTCCAGAGATTAATCCCAGCAAACTCTAAAAGGTCCTTGAGATAACTGATATTTGCATGCATCAGTTGATGATTATGAATTTAAGACACTCATTTATTCTGAGTTTCGTATGCATACACAAAACCTCATGTGAGTGGATGCACAGAGCCTCAAATGCTCAAGAGACCACCTGCAGCCCTCCTTACCTTCCTGCTCTCTTGTAATCCTTTTTGTAGGATCTGTCTGGTGACGGTGATCTTCTGCTGTCACGGTGCCGATGCCTCTCCCTCTCCCGCTCCCTTGAAAAGTTCAAAAAAATGAGTTAAATGAGAAATCTGCCATTTCATACATTCTACACCTGAAAGGAACACAAAAAGCAGCCCAAGATCATGTTATGCAAAATGCCATCCATATGCTGACTGCTAAAAACCAGACGTTCTTAACATTGACCTTCAAGAAACTTGCAATAGACAGTCAAGTGTCCATGTCCTCCACCTTTGTCACAAAGCCATCTATCTCATTACAAGAGTTAACTCACACCATGCAGAGGTGACATCTAGGAATTCCCCATGGGACTTACTGCCATTTTTCCTCTTCTCCTGTTACGAATGGCAAAGGGTTAGATTATTGTATCTATCATCATTGAAACGGGGCTGTAGCCAGGTGCAGGTTGGCCTCTTCTCTCAGGTAACGAAGGACAGAATGAAAGGAAACAGCCTCAAGTTGCACTAAAGGAGATTTCATTTGGATAGCAGGAAAAATTTCTTCACCCAAAGGGTAATTGAGCACTGGAATAGGCCACCCAGGAAAGTGGTGGCATCACCGTCCCTGGAGGCACTTAAAAGAGATGAAGATGTGGCACTCAGGGACACAATTAAGTGGTGGAGTTGACAGCATTAGGTTACAGGTTGGACTTGATTATCTTTAGGACATTTTCCAACCTAAATGATTCTATGGAATTACTGTATTTATTAGGCAGGAAAGACCACATAGGCAGATTTTATACTCTGCTAACAGCTGGCAAGTCATTGTGCATCTGTTAAAACTTCTAGTCTGCTGATACACTAGGAATTATAAACAGGTGTCTCAAGTGGCCTGGTGGCTTAACAGAATGAGTCAAAATTATTTATGAACTTATACATATATATATATATATATATGTTTGTTTCCATGCTCATAATATGAAACAGGATACAAATCTACAAAGCAAAAATTTCAGACAAATTATCCATTATTTTTCCCCAGCCCCATTTATCCTTGTTTGTCAGTGCCTTGTTGAAGCATGGATTTCAGTCTTCAGAGAGAGCATACTCTATGCCATCTGATTTACTTGTGAGATGGATGCTGCACAAAACAAAACAACCCCAAGTCTGGCAAACAGTTCTGAATCAAAATAAGTAGATACATTATCAAGTAGATCTGGAAGCTGCTGGCGTAAAGCAGCAGTCCACAACAGTCTGAGAAAGAAGCTACTGAAAACATGCATTTCGAAAACTTAAAACTGAAACTTGAAATTATGCAGAAAAAAGGAGAAAACTCCACAAGCATGTCATACAGAAAAAGCCAGGGCCTTAATGCTAGCTGCATTCAGTTTTACGAAAATCCTTTTTTGAAAATCAAAGTAAATTTACTGAGTGTAAGGCTTGGTTTGTTTTTTTGAATGCAGGTGTCTAAGGTTTTGTAATTTAGCCTCCACATATCTAAATCAAAGGGCCTTCATTTACTCAGGCTTTATTTAGTGTAAATTTACTTCCACTTGCGGCATGAAAAAATTCTGAACTTTTAAAATTAAGTGCATGTGGTCCAGTAGCCCTGATAAATACTTAACTTTCCAGTAGCTCTTTGAATATTTTGGCAAAGCTTATTAGACATATAAAGAGCTGCAAACAGAACAAAACTAAGACGTGAGATGGATTTAACTGATGATGGTTTGTTCTAAAACATGTCACAATGCTAACTGCATCAGGTCAGCTCATAATTTCCAAGTCATTTGTGTCCATGAAGAAGAGAGACAGACATTTCATAATAAATCCCAAAATAAGCAGTGTGCACTCATCCGTTTCCATGATGTCAGTGAAGCCTACAACTGGCCCATGGTCATTTTCACCTCAGTTCTCTTTTGAGATCACAGGCTGGCTTGCCGAGGTCTTCATCCTGAACATAACATGCTTTTCACTAAAACACCTGACTGCAAGTATTATATGCCCATTATTCGGGCCCCTATTAGACTACGAACCTCACCAAGCCGGTGTTCTCCATAAATACAAGGCTTTCTGAAAGGAAGTAACACCTGGTACCCTAACTCTGATACCTAAATCTTGAAATTCAAAGTGCTGGGGCTTAACTGTTTGTAAGACTCTACAGTCTTAGAGTGCCAACTCTATTTTCCTGCCACAAATGCATACATTTCTAAGGTAAATATGAGCACTACTCAACAATCCACTCAGTGGGACACAAAGAAGCTCTTGTTTGACAACAATCTCCATGGACAAGAGCAACAAGTCTGCCAGTCCACAACTGTGAGGCAAAGCAGTGTACCCAAAAGGTGTCTGAACTGTAACTTTTTCCATGAGACCTGACTGCTGGCTACCTCCTGAGCTAGAGGGCCAAACACAGGTAAGGGAAGAACACTGATGCAAACACATACTATGGAACAATGATGACATCTGTCCCCCTGCAGGCAGATAACAGTTACCTGTTTCGCTCATAACTTCTGTGATGAGGTGATATCCTTCCTCTGTCATAATCTGTCCGGTGCCGACTGCTTTCCTGCCTCCTCCTATCCGGACTGCGGCCGCGCTCCCGACGATCCCCGTGGTTAGCGGAGCGATGCCTGTCGCCGTGAATGTGACCGTGCTCGCGGTGCCGGTGCTCATCGTAGTGCTTGCTCCTGTCCGGGGAGCGCCGGTCACTTTGGGACTTCTCTCCCTGGTACTGCCCCGTGTGCCGGAAGTGGCTGCCGCTGGCGCTGCTGCTGGCAGTGCTGCTCGGGAAGGAGCCGGAGCTGTGCTGGTAGCTGTTGAAGCTGGGCGGCGGGAAGGACTGCTGCGAGTACCCTGCCGAGTACACGGGCTGGTAGCTGACTTGCTGTGGCATGACTGGCGGGGGGGGAGGGTGTGGTACTGTGGGGGGAGGCATCATGTAAGGAAAGGTGCTTTGTCCGGCAGGTGTTCCTGGCACGGGAGTGTTACTAGGATTTGGCACCGGTGGAGGAGTGGGAGGGAAACATGGAGGCACTGGGAAGCTCTGCCTCATCTGGTGGTTTGGAAATGGTGGCCTCATGGGACACTGGCTGATGGGATTTTGTGTGGAAGGGGGCACTGGCGGAGGATAGGGCACAAAGTCTGGCCTGGGAGGCATGTAACCCGTGGTTGGAGGGCTGGAGTAGGATGTTGGAGGGGCGGTTTGCTGCTCATACTGGTACTGTACAGAGGGCTGCTGTGGGTGAAGCTGCCGGAGGTTCTGAGGGCGGTAGGTCTGTGCTGAAGTTCTTGCTCCTGGTCCCCCCTGGCCACGGGGACATCCTCGCCCAGAATGGAAAGACATGGCTCACCTTTTTTGAGGAAAATAAAAATCCAGTGTCACGCAATTTTTGTAAGATGTCCTCAATGCACCTGCAGGAACTACTCCTAAAGTGTGAAACGGTAGTTTCATCCAACAGAAGTAAATGATTTCCAATTTCACTGGGAGCATTGTGCTCCTTGGACCTTTAATACAGATCACTTTTGCCCCTTTTGATTCCTTTAAGATTCTAATCTATGAAAAAACTTACTGTCTTTAAGCCATAATCCAAGCTGGACCATGAGTTAAGGCAATAGAATTTCAACAAATTGTTATGATGACAGTACTCCACTAGTACTTAGATACTTTGATATAAAATCTTTAGATACCCTGCACCAAAGAAATCACTCGTTATTAACAACTGCAGTGGTCACCCAAAGTTGCATAACAAGGAGTTCTGTCTAGAACACAATTCTGAACTTCAGGCAGAATGACTTGACTAACACCTCATTGCATGCCACCTGGCCCAACAAATCATGCAAATTTTAGATTAGATACAGGCAATTTTCATTCCCTATTGAGTCCCCAATGTACTAAAGGACTCAATTCAACAGACCCTTCAAAGTATTTTAAGTGAGGTAGGTGTATTTTTGTGGAAAAACAGGTTACACATCTTACAGGTTATGAAAAAAACTTCATGTAGACTGTGCTATTCCTTAATTTTCATTGAAATAAATGGTTCCCAAGAAATCCCTCAACTGTCTTCTCAGCCCTGTTACCCTAGAGAAATTATCACTGTTTCAAGTAGGCTTAAGCGTTGCTCAAAACTAGGCATGTATTTAAGGCATTAACGTTTATAAATGAAAGCACTGTGCTTCATTAAAGTTAAAACTGATTCTTTAATTACCATGTTAAGTTTCAGAAACTGAAAAAAGGAGAGAAAAAACACTTAAGAAAATTTATGGCTGGAATGGAATGGAAGGAGCGGAAAAAAATGATCTAAGCACCTCCAGAAGTCAAATCATGTTTTCAGTAAGGGGAAGCGAGAAAGAAAGGGGAGACACACACACACAATCACCAGAAGAAGTAAACAAACCCTCCCTTCCACTGAGGCTTTGCTGATGCTGAAGTACATGCACAGAATACTCTCCCACCTGCTATAGTGCATCATGGCCAACCTGGACTGCTCAGAGCACTACCCTCAGCTGCATCCCAGTGACACTGCAGCATAAGATGTAGCCCTTGTGAGAGGAAGTAGACAGCTTCTGGTGAACTGGAGGGAGAAATGAAAAGAAACACAGGGGAAAATGACTGATATCAAAGAGGAGGAATCAAGAAGACCTTCCTTACACATGCGGGACTTAGCGGGAGCCACTGGAACTGGTGGTGGTGATTCCCTCTCCAGAACAACCAAGGGCGAATGTGAGAATTCCACACTTTGAGGAGACAGCAGCCATGATGGTATAAAGCCACTTGTTCCTTCCAGTCAGCCTGTACCTGCTCAGTGTCCTCCAACTCTATAAAGGCTCTCAAAAAAAAACAACTAGGGGAAAAAAAAAGTTAGAAACTCAACATCCATTTTGTCTGGCAATAGTGCACCCTCTTGACATTAACTATAATTCATCAGATGCTGAATTATTTTTGCTTTAGTCATCCTGCTGTGCTCTTACACAATTCAGGTTTGTAACAGAGGACTTTTTTAGACTTCACTAACATTCACATACACATTTTTTTTAGACAGGCTGTGCCACAGTGCCTTGTCTTTAAGTCTGCTGCTTTCTAAAATGTCACAGCATTCAAAGAAAAGGTCTTGTTTATCAGCTCTCAGATCTCCCTGATGCAAGAGAACTACTCTTGTTCTACTACTTTAGTTTCAGTCCTTCAGAATGCACAGAACCACAAATGGAAAAAAATATTTAAAAATACATGACACTACTTTACATGTCCAAATTATTTCAAAGCTCCCTCTGCTGCAAATGCAAGTCACATTCAACTTTCACTTAAAGTTAAGTAAGCATGAAAACACAGAAAAGGGCAAACTCCCCTTTCCCTGTCATCTAAAGAGGAATTTTATTGCACTGACGGGAGCCATTGCATTCTAAAGCAGTACTGGTCCCCCAAAAAACACGGAATAAACTTGCCTCTCCCTGCAGATGCACTGCTGAGAGCAACAGGGCAGTGCGACATAGAGAAGGGGACTGAGAGGGGACATCATCAAGGTCCCTAAGTGTCTAAGAGAGGGGATACCCCTTAAGACCATAAGAGAGGATGGATGCGGGCTCTTCTCGGCGGTGCCGTGCAACAGGACAAGAGTGAATGGGCAGAAACTGATGCACAGAAAGTTCCACCTGAACATGAGGAAGAACTTCTTTACTGTGCGGGTGCCCGCACACTGAACGGATTCCACAGAGGGCTTGTGAAGTCTCCCTCACCGGAGATATGCAAGAACTGTCCGGAGGCAATCCTGTGCCACGTGCTCTAGGATATCCCCGCTGGAGCAGGGAGAACGGACCGGATGACCCTCCCGTGGCCCCTTCCGACCCGACCCATCCAGTGCCACCCGGTCTCACCCCACCGCCGCCTCCCGGGCAGGCGGGGGCACGGAGCCAGCGCTGCGCTGAGCCGCCCCCGGCCGG